GTTACCCTTTTGCATTGTGATGAGTTAAGTCACAAAATTTTCTTACCAATGGAACTAGTAGATGGGTCCACAGCCTATGATGTTTCTCCCAAGTCCAGGAGATGAAGAGTGTGATGGAAGGCAGGGGTGTGTTTCCGAATATGCTTTCTGTTTCATAGAAGAGTTCCCCGATAGAGTGCTCTGCTCCGTATTCGGGGGAGTGCGGGGAACACCCGTTAACCAAGAGCCTGTCTAACATTGCACTGATGTCTGCTCCCTACACGCTAATTCACGAGGAGGTAGAGCATCAGCTGTAGATGTCCTTGCAGATGGGCTGCGATTCACAGCAAATAAGTACATAGAGGTGAGTGATTTGCCAAAAGTCAAGTAGCTAGTAGAGGGCAGACCCCGCACTTGACCTCCTCAAGTCTGTTTCAGGGAATGCGAGAGGCTAGCTTGTGTGAGACTCAGGGGAGAGGCCATGTTGACTTGGAAGGGTTTTAGCTCCCAAGTGTGGCCTTCCATTTGGTTTCCAAAGGATCTGTTCTTTGAGAGACAGGCCCCAGATGATGAGGGGGTGTGGAGTGAATGACAGCTGTAGTAGCGCTTAGTGGTCTTGTCTTTCACTTCATTCAAAACAGTTTTGTTAGACTGTATTGTGACAGCTGTCCTATCAGTGTGCATTTAAAAAACCTTATCAAAATCAGTGAATTTCTGTGTAGCCACTTTAATATTGAAGACGGAAGAGAATATGCAACATTTTTGGCATATTATGCTTTATTATCTCCAGGAAGAGACAAACGCAACTCAAATTCAAAAAAAGGCTTGTGCAGTGTATGGAGAAGGTGCTGTGACCGATCGGTCGTGTCCAAAGTGGCTTGTGAAGTTTTGCGCTGGAGACGTTTTGCTGGGTGAGGATGCTCCACGGTCGGGCAGACCAGTTGAAGTGGACAGCGATCAAATTGAGACATTAATTGAGAACAATCAATGTTCTGCCACCTGGGAGAGAGCCGACATACTCAAAATATCCAAATCAATAGAGTTATGGTGAAGATGAAAAATGTGTATTCTATCTTTATAGGAAAAAACCATCTGAACAACCCAATAGTTGCCAGGGTCGCCACTGTCACTGCCTGTGGGCACACATGCCAAAGCACAAGCATCCAGACTTGCAGAGTGACCATCAGGGGCCTAGAAGAAAATCCAGGCGACAAAGAAGGGAACTTACAGCCACTAGGAACCCAGATGTTAGAGGCAGGGGTAGGAGAGAGCGGGTCCCTCCCATGTGTTCGGTGATAGTCCCAAATAGGAATGACAAGGAGGCCGATTGAGCCCAGTCACAAAGTGGGCTGACCACTCAGCACCAAGGCTTTTCGCTTTTTTGTGGGTCTGAAAGATGGGGGCAGGAACAAGTCAGAGGATTTGCTCAAAGTATCTAATGGCAGAGACACTCAGATTGGTGGAAACGCACAGACCTCGGTTTCCCAACCAAATCAAAAAGGGATTCCTAGGACTGGGCTCTGGATGTAAAGAAGCGTTAGGAATACCTTCCCTTCTGCTTTTATTGTCCTGCTTCTGTGTGTACAGGTGTGATGTGATTTTTAAAATGCACATCTAAATATGTCCAAGTAGGTGTTAACAAGTTTAAGGTAAGAGTCCTAGGTAACAAAAAGAAGTGTTTTTTCCTTTCTTATTGGTACATGAAATAATGGTGCAAAATATAATCAATACATCTTAGATTTGATGAGTCTTAAGACTTCCTTTATGTTCAAGATGGAGTGACCTCTCAAATATAGTAATACTAATAACAGTTATCTTTTCGTTTTTCGGTAACACTTAGAGAATTTACCTTTTTATGTTTAGTGTGAGAATGTGCATTTCCATAAGGGCAGGGATTTTCATCTATTTTGTTCCCCAATATCTCCCAGCCCCTAAAACAGTGCTGGGCACATAATAAGTCCTCAATATTTATTGAATGAATGAATGAATGAATGAAATCTTTGTGTGTGCTAGGCATTGTGCTAAGTGCTTTGCATGCATCATTTCATTGAACTTTCACGAGAAATCTAATGTAGATATTACTGTCACCCACATTTTCGGCTGAGGAAGCCAATGTAGATGAAGATTCAGTAACTGCCCAAGGTCACCCAGCTTGACCCTGGGGGAGGAAGGATCCAAGCCCAGTCTGGCTGCAAACCTACACTCATCCACGACACTTTGCTGCTTCTAATACTGCCCGTGTTCCCCTTCTTGGTTTCTCTGGGCTCCTGCTGACCTTAGTGTGTGCTTTTATCATTCTTTTTATTACTCATTATTAGAGAATAGAATGGCCTGGGTCCCCTCCTAAACCAAGCTTCTCAAGGGCCGAGACCTCATCTGTCTTTATACCCCCAAGACTAGCGCAGCACCTGGCACCGTGCAGGCACTTTCTGTCCGTGAAATCAATGGGCTCTGCAAGCACAGGAGGCATGGCGAAGGATTCAAAGGTTCCTAACTGGCAGACCGAGGCTTGCGGACCAGATGAGAAGGAACAGCTTGCAAAGAGCAGCTGCTCTGGAGAGGGAATCCTGGGGCCAGTTTTGAACGTGTTGGAGTGATGGGAAGAGCAATGACAGGAGAGGCCCACTGGGGACTTGGAAAGAGAAAACTGGCCCAGAGGTTCTTTTAGGACTAAAATGGAGACTTGCAAGTCTTTCTGATAGAAGTGGTACTGAAGCTGAGAAAGTGCATCCACTCACCCAGAAAAACAGTGCGGAGAAGAAAAGGACGTGTTAGAGCACGCCTACAGGCAGCGGGAAGAGGGCACAGAGCTCTAAGGGCACTCAGAAGGACCTCTGCAGCAACACTGACGTTGAAGGCATCTCTCTCCTGTTTGTGTCCCTGAGGAGGTGTCTCTGAGAACTGCTTTGTAAAGCAGTCAGATTATAAATGAAAGTCCGTGGGCAGCAACAGAAAAACAACCCACACGTGTTCAGTGCTCCTGCGCTGTGCACCAGCGGCTTGGGACCTGCTGAGTTCAGACTACAGCATGCCCATCCACGACCACCTCTGGATGACAATGGCCAGCACCACCACCGGGGTCCTGCCTCCTCACCCATACTCCTCAGGGCCTCCTCTCCCCTGCACACGGGCTGGAGATTATGCCCCCTTTGTGCCATTGGATGGTACCCACATTCTTTTACTGGCCCGTATTGTAGGTGAATTTGGCCTTTGCATTTATCCTGCCTTGTTTTTTCCCCCCTTATCAACACCTCAACACTTCTTTTCTAGTTTTTTCTGTTGCCTGAACCACTTTCTCCACTGGTGAACCCTTGGGGGTAAGGGGGGCACTATTACTGCAGTTCACATAACCTCGTTGATAATTCTTTGTGCCTTAGTCCTACCACTGACCAGGAGGAACCACTTCGCCACACACGTGGCAGTTAGCGTGTGAGTCTACTGACTTTTGACCTAGCTGAGCACATAAGGTGTTAAATCCATTAAAAATGTAGTCATCACATTATACGTGTTCTGTTTTTACCTCTGTGCAGTAAAGAAGAACTTTCTCAGGTCAACTGCTCTATTTAAACATTGTGACATACATCATTCATATAGAAAAAGTAGACACACTTGCACGGTTTATTTAAAGAATAATTACAAACAAGCACCCAGGTCCAGGCGGGGAGCACATTCAGAATTTCAGAACACCCCTCTGCACCCCTCCTGATCACATCCCATTTCCCTGAACAGTTTCAGCGTTGGTGTATGTGGCCTGAGCAACATGGTTGCGTTTTGCTGGGTTTGCACCCTGACACAAGTGCAAACACAGGGCGCCTGTTCTTCGGTTGATTCGCTTCTGTCACTCAGCACTGAGATGGATCTTGCTGCTGTTAGCGACCAGAGTGTGCTCCTCTTTGCCGCTGTGTCTGCCATACGTCCCAGTATGACCAGTAACTCATCCTTCCTATTGTTGTTGTGAGCCGTGTTGTAGCTGCACCCAGACGAGAGACGCTGTTTTCCAAAGCGGTTGTATCCATTTCTACGGCCGTCCCTGTGCGGGGACTCGCTCCGTCCTCCTTGTTAACACTGGTGACTGTCCGTCGATGTCATCTCTGCTCCGGTGGGCGTCTGGTGTTGCCTGGTCGTTCTTACCTTCCTTTCTGTGGTCACTAGTAAGGATATGCATGTGTGCAAATGGGTCACTTGCAGTTCTTCTTTGGGGTCCCACCTCTTTAAGCCTTTTGCCTATTTTTAAAATTAGGTGCTCTCCTTTTTAATTTGTAGGTACTCTTTATATATTCTGAGTACTAATTCTTCCTTTATTATATGTTTTGCACATTTCTCCTACAATGCGGTTTTGTCTTTTCCACCGAATTTTAATGCCATTGAATTTATTCTCCTTTATGGCTAAAAACAAATCTTCTCAACCCCATACTCATAAAAAAATTCCTCTGTACAGGTCCACGTAATTTACCTGAAGTCCATGCAGCCTCCTGCCACTAAGTCACATTTTTCACCAAATGAGTTCCAAAGAGAGCCCTGGCCTGCGGCTCCGGCGCTCGGTGCCCTGTCCTGTAACCGAAACGCGGCAGGTTGGATCCCTGCCGTGGGCGCCTGTGAGAGGCAAGCGATCCCCTCTGCCATCCAAGTTTCTCTCTCTCCCCTTCCCGCTCCCTTCCTCCCTCTCCACAAAGCAATGGAAAAAGGGTCCTCCGGTGAGGATAAAAAAAAGTTCCAAAGAGCATGGTCCAGCGCTGCTGGCTCAGGCTCAGCTTCCCCAGGAAGCCTCCACGGAGAGGCCGCCTCGGGGAGCGGGGACAGAGTTCGCACCGTGAGCCTTTGGGCGGTGCCGAGCGAGACACAGACACGTGAGTCAGGAAAGGGGCGGAGCTCGTCCCAGGAGTGAAAACTACCCGGACTCCTGCGCTGCGGAAGCCTCCTGACCCCACCTCCTCAGCCCCCAAGGACCTCCCCCCTCGCCGAACGGGACGGAAGTCTCTCCCCCTGTGCCAGAGCGGGGCCGGAAGTCCCGCCCCCGGACCGTCTACGGCTGCGCGTGAGGGTCCCTGTGAGGCCGGCGATTGCGCCGTTGGGAGTTCTGCGCAGCCTGAGGCGCAACCTGCAGGCCTGACGACCCTCCGGCGGCGCCAGGAGGTGGCGCCGCGTTCTCCCCAAGGTGCTGGGCGGCACGGCTCCTTCTCCCGGTTGGTGCCGAAGAGAACCGGTTCTGGGCGGACGGAGAGGTAAGTTCGCTGTTGGCCGGCGGGCGGGAGTGCATGGGGTGAACCTGGGAGGTGGCTGACCGTCCGGAGCCGCGGTTGCTCGCCTGCACGACGAATAGACGCCTTGCCCGGCTCGGTCATTTTGCTCCGTGCACTAATACGGAGAGCAGATTGGTTCAAACGGCACCTGGTAAAAAGGGCACCGCTACCCCCATTTTACCGATGGGATAATGGCTCCAGAGAACCAGGGTGCGACCCTCAATGACAGAGAGAGTCTCGGTTCCGAATCGGCCCAGAGCCCGCTGCTGCGATGGGCGGGGTCAGACGTGGTGGGAAGTCTCGGACGCCGGCAGGTCCGGTGCAGCGGAGGTCGGCTGAGTAGTTTCAGCTGCTCCGCGGAAGTCCGAGGCGTAACTCTGAAAACCTGGCGTTGGCAGAACCGCCGTAGTTTTGCCTGGCCGCCGCCTTGTTCATGGCAGATGTTGCTTTGGCCGGCAGCTCCAGCCCGCCGGGATGGCAGCCCCGTCCATGAAGGAGAGGCAGGTCTGCTGGGGAGCCCGGGATGAGTACTGGAAGTGTTTGGACAAGAACGAGGACGACGCTTCGCAGTGCAAGAAGCTAAGAAGCTCCTTTGAATCCAGTTGCCCCCAGCAGTGGGTAAGTCACGCTTGGACATGTTTCTGTTTGCTGTTGAGATACACAGAGGGTACCGTGCGAGTGGCAGGCTGTGAAATGAAGGCTGTCTTGGGCGTGTCAAGTCAACACTTAGGCAGAGAAAACCCCGTGTGTTCGTCCAGGCTCATTTTATGTCCTTACATGAGGCTGACCTTTGGGAAAAGTCGTCTGGCACTTTAAGGATCATTGAAAAACAAAACACATGAACATAAGCCCCAAAACCCAATCCATTAAACTGGTAGACTTCTCCAGGATCTTCCTAAGGGCTGATATTTAATCTTGAGCAAGAGCTGCTGTCAGCAACTGAAGTGTTCCCAGCAGCCCACCCAAAACGACATAGTCATGTACCCCAAGTATGATGAAGAGGTTAGAGAGTAAATGCCCATGTGGTAGACTCTGCCTCCAGCTGCCCCCAAGGCCTCCCTGACAGGCGTTCCTGCTCTGTGTGTCCTTAGTGTGGGAGGGGCTGGGAACGGGAACTAAGCTCACCCCCCATCAACACCCTTTGATGGGAGTGGTTGATGTCCACTTCCAGAGGAGGCAGCTGGAGCTCGCGGCCTGGACAGGACTTGGTCGGAATGGCCCCTGAGCAGCAGAGCTGAGTCCAAGCCAGGCCCAGCTGGCCGATGTGGGATTCGAACCTGATTTGTCTGTGTTTTCTCACAGCATCATGCTGTTCCAAAGCACCCCAGGTCCTTTGAGAACAGATTGTTTCAGAGGTGAAGTGGTCGTCACCTTCTCACACCGGGTGTCTTTAGAGAGGAGCCTGAGGCTTGAAGGAGACCACGGGAAGCGTGTGGTGGAGGGTGGGGTCCTAGCCTTTAGAGAAAGTGCCGTGTGTTGGGCTGTGGACTGTGACCGAGTGAGGAGGCGAGGCTGGGCAGCAGTGCTGCTCAGGTGAGGAGGACGGTGTGTGTGAAGGCCGGGCAGCCGGGAAATGAGCACCTGCAGGGAGTGGGCAGCTCCGTGCAGGGGCCGGTGGTGAGTTCACAGGATGGACAGGTGGGCGGAGATTAAGTCACCGGTGGCCTTGTTTTACTGAGGAGTTTGGATGTTGAGCTTGAAGGCCCTGGGATACCCAGAAAGATTTTTTAAAGATCTTTAAATGAGCAAGTGACAGGGTGAGATCTGGGTTTCAGCAAGGTGACCCTTGGGAGCAGTGTGACGGATGGATCAAGGAGGCAGGGCAAGCAGGCGAAGAGCTGCTAGAACAACGCCAGTGTGAGAGGAGGGCCTGCACCGTGGGGACCTCGAGGGGAAGGAGGTCCGCGTGTCTGTGCGGACAGTGCCGCTGCCACTGAGGTGGTCCTCGGTGGGGAAGCTCATGGGAGGAGCTCAGTTCTGGGCAAGCTGGGCCTGAAGTGTCGACAGAACCTTTGAGTGGACGTGTCCATTGGGCTGTTGGAAATGGGACAGGAAATGCAGAGGTCTGTTTTCTGCCACAACCGTGTTAAGGACATTGTGCACTCCTGCTGTGGTACCCCTTACCTGTCACAGCCACCCCCGCCCCTGCCACCTGAGACCACCAGAAATCTGCGGCTTGACAGTCAGATTTATTGACCAGGGAGACCGCACACCCCTAGGAACTGGGGGCAGCTCACCAAGCAGAGGGAAGGCTGCCGGAGGATGGGGGGGTGGTTGGGGCTTGGGTGACACTGAAACGAAGGGGTTTCGATAGGCTCAGAGCAGAACGGGCTGCGTGCAACAGGTCCTCGTCAGCCTGGACTGAGGTGGACCAGGTCCTGCTGTCCCCTGGGATTAAAGCTGTGCACAGGTGTTCAGAGACCCCGCATCGGGAGCCCGGGGCCAGAAACCCGGGCTGCAGCTCCATCAGTGCCTGCGAGCCTCCAGGGCAATGTGGGTCTTCCCTGCTCACTGCTGCATCCTCGAGGGGCGATTTCCCTCAGTCTGTGACGTCGGGGAACGGGGTTCTTGGTGAAGGAGGAAGGGGCAGTCACTCAAACGGGCCTCCTGGGAAAGAAGGCCCACGGTGCCCGTGCATCACTCGGCAGCTGCTCTGTCTGCATCTCGCCCCAGTGTCGGACGGGGCTGGGCCGGTTCCTACATTTCAGGTTGAGCTAGTTTTCATTTCCTGGGGCACCACCGAAATATTTAAGGTTTAATGCTAAGAAGCACTTCTCACGAAAGAACTAGCGTGTTCTATTCTGACAGTGACAGTGTGCGTTGTTCTGCCTTTGCCTTGCCCGCAGAGCGGCTTGGATACAGGCCTGCGGGCTCTGTGCTGGCCTTGATCTCCCGCCTCTGGGATTGTGCTGCTTTGGGGCCTGGGCCTTCAAAACACTTCAGGTCCTTTGTTTACTTTTAAGTTCACCCATCCCCCTACTCCTTCGCCTCTGTCAGCCATCAGCTTGTTCTCTGTGGTGGGGGGTCTCATTCTGTTTTGCTTTGTTTATGCATGTTTTGGTTCTTTCAGAGTCTACATGCAAGTGAAACCGGACAGTAGGTCTCTGACTTACTTCACTCGGCCTCATGCCCTCCGGGTCCATCTGTGCTGTTGCAGATGCAGGACTTCCTTTTCTCACTGCTGACCAGCGCCCCGTTGTGTGCACGGGCCACGTCTCCTTTACCCTAGGGTCTGGTGGTGGGCACTTGGGCTGCCTCCACGTCTCAGCCAGGGTAAATAACACTGCAGCGAACAGAGAGGTGCATGTAGTTTCTCGAGTTAGTGTTTTTATTTGGATAAATATCCAGAAGTGGAATTGCTGGGTCATAAGGCAGTTCTATTTTTAATTGTGTTGAAGTAACTCTAGACTGTTTTCCACGGCGGCTGCACCAGTCTGCAATCCCACCAACAGCGCATGAGGGTTTCCTTTTCTCCGCGTCCTCGCCAGCACTTGTTTGTGGATTTATTGAGAGCCATTCTGACGGGTGTGAGGTGATGTCTCACTGTGGTTCTCATTTGCATTTTTCTGATGATTAGTGATGTTGAGCACCTTTTCATGTACCTGCTGGCCATCTCTGTACTCTTTGGAAAAACACTTTTTTTTAAAATCTAGAGAATTTAGTTACCTTTCATTAACTGTATTCATCTTTACCTTTATACTTTCTTTACTCTAAGATTATATAAACATTTATATTTACTTTTTTTCCCAAAAAACTCTTTGTATTATCGAATCCTGTTTGCTGGTACTTTGTTGAGAATTTTCACATCAAGGATATTGGCCTGTAATTTTCTTTCTTCTGTAATGTCTTTGTCTGGTTTTGGTATCAGAGTAATAGCAAAGAGTGAATTTAAGGCTTCATAGAGTGAAGGCTTCACAGAGTGAATTTGGAAGCGTTCTTTCTACTTTAATTTTTTGAAATAGTTTAAGAAGGATGGGTATTAATTCATCCTTAAATGTCGGGGAGAATTCACTTTTGAAGTCTGACCCTGGATTTTTGTTTGTTGGTAGTTTTTTTATTTTTGCTTCAATTTTATTATTAGTAATGTCTGTTCAGATTTTCTGTTTTTTCCTGGTTCAGTCTTAAGAAAGTTATAAGCTTCTAGAAATTTATTTTAAACTGAATGTGTTGGCATATAGTATTCTTTAATAATTTTTTTTATATTTCTGTAGTGTTGGTTAGAACTTTTCATTTATGACTTATGTGGGCTTTCTCTTTTTTCCTGATGAGTTTGGTTAAAGGTATGTCAATTTCGTTTATCTTTTCAAAGAACTAGCTCTTAGTTTCATTGATCTTTTAATTTTTATTTCTATGCCGTTTATGTCTGCTCTGGTCTTAATTATTTCCTTTCTTCTATTTACTTTGGCTTTTGTTCCTCTTCTAGTTCCTTTAGTTGTAGACTTAGATTGTTCATTTGGGGTGTTTCTTGAGATGGGCCTGGAGAGCTGTAAAGGTCCCTCTGAGAACTGCTTTTCCTGTATCTATACATTTTTGGAAAGTCGTGTTTTCATTTTCACTTGTCTCAAGGTGGTTATTTCCTCTTTGGTTTTGCTTACATTTCTTAAGAAAGTCTGTGGCTTATTCAAGTGTTCGGCAGGATCTGTAACCCAGAAAGGCTGGTGACTGACTGGTTGGCACCCACTTCCTACATCAGACACACTCATTTGTAATGATTCTGGAACATAAGTGACTTAGACTCCTCAGGCAGTTTGTATTGAATAGTGCGTTACATTTAAATCTGTACTTTCATGTATCTAAGCTGCATAACTTGCCCTATTTCAAACCCTTTTTTCTCAACAGATAAAATATTTTGATAAAAGAAGAGAGTACTTAAAATTTAAAGAAAAATTTGAAGCAGGACAATTCCAGCCTTCAGACTCAACTGCGAAGTCATAAGCTGTTCCTGGCCTTTTCAGAAAGGGTGAAGCTATTCTTTCTGGACATTCAAAATCGCTCCATCGGTCGTGGGACAAAAGTGGTTTGAATCATGGTGAACATCAGTACTGACTGTTTCTGTGTACGTAACTTAATGATTAAAACGATCGAGCGACAGGAGATCAACTATGAAGAATTGAAATAAAATGGTATGAAGTATGCTTAGTTTTAATTTAGTAAGATGTTAGTATTTTAATAAAAAAAATTAAAGCCTATTATAAAATACCTATTTTTTTGGTTGGAGGATGGGAATAGGCAAATAAAAGATACTGAAAAAAGTAGGTTGTTAGTGTCCTGGGAGTTGCCATTTTAATACAGGCACACACAAAAAAAATAAGGATTAAAAGAATATAAAATAATAGAGACCATCTACAAAAAACTTAGCTAATGTCACACTCAATGATGACATGATGAATGTTTTTTCTTCCAAAAATCACTAACAAGGTAAGGATGTCCTCCCTCACTTCTCCTGTTCACCACCTTGTTGGTTTCCTAACCACCTCACTAAGAGAGAAATAAAAAGCATGCAAATTGGGAAGGAAAACCAAGTCTATTCATAGATGATAGTATTATCGCTAAAGAAAACCCCCCAAAATCAACAGAAAAACTAATAAATGAATCTTAGAAAAGTGCCAGGAAACAAGGTCGGAATATAGGAGATAGTGATATTCTTGTGTACTAGCAATGAGCCGTTGGAGTGTAAAAGAAAAAAATACATCCTTTACAATAACACTAAAAATTTTTTTAAAAAGGAATACTTCAGTATATAGCTTACATTATGTTCGACACCTACAAAACAAACCCTTGAGATCAGAGAAGATCTAATTAATTGGCAATACATACTGTGTTCGTGGATTAGATGACTCAGTACTGAAAAGATATTGTTAAATTCTCCCCAGTTTGTTTTATGGGTTCAACACAGTCCCAATCAAAACAGGCGTTTTTTGTAGACAAGGACTAGTAACAAACTGAGTCTAGAATGTATATGAAAGGGCAAAGGACCTAAGAGAGCCACATGTTTCTGAAGAGAACGGAGCTGGAGGATTCATCGTGTGGTCACCACAGTGACTCAGGCGGAATGGTGGCGGCAGAAGGTCAGGCACCGAGTTCTGTAGACCGGAGCAGAGTCCAGGCACACACCCACACAGAGTCGGCTGAGTCTGCACGTGGGTAAAGGCTACTGAGTGGAGAAAGGGCCATCTTTCCAACACACAGAGCTGGGAAAATTGGATGGCCACACACAACAAAATGAATCCTGACATTACCTCACACTTTTTAAAAAAATGGATCATAGATTTAAATATAAAACTGTAAAGCTTGTAGAAGAAAATGTGGAACTCTTAAGATTTCAGGTTTGAAAATGAATTGAGATGACATCAAAAGCAAAATCCATGAAAGAAAAAAGCTGCATTGGATTTTATCAAAATTAAAAATTTTTGCTCTATGAAAGATTCTATTAGAATAAAAAGAAAATTTCAGACTGGGGGAAAATATTTGCAAATAACATAACAAAAAGTTGTATCCATAATGAAGAACTCTTACAACTCTTTAAAAAACTAAATCGCCCAAGTTTAAAAAATGGGCATAATGTTGTAATAACCAGTATTAGGTATTAGGTAAAGATGCTTCATGTTGTTAGTAGAGTAGGGCAATTTAAAATCATCATGATCCGTCACTGCACGCCTATTAGAGTGAGTTACAAGTGGGCCATATCGAGTGCTGGTGGGGATTCACGGCAGCACAAGCTCATTCAGCCCTGGGGGGAGTGCAACACGGCGACGCGCCTTTGGAAGACAGTCTGGAGTCCATGAAGTTAAACATGCGCTTGCCTCACGGCCCAGCGTCCCACTCCAGGTGTTTCACCAAATGAACTGTGTGTGAGCGTTTCTGGCAGCATCACTCCTAACTGGCCAGAACTGGAAACAACCCAGATGCCTGCAGCACAGGAATGGATACACTGTAGTACATTTACACAGTACCATGCAGCAAAGAGAAATGAACAGCTGAGTCGCCCAGCACCACAGGTGGACCTTGAATAGATTTTGCTACTGGAAAGAAGCCAGACCCAAAAGGCTATGTAATTAGTACATGCTTCCATTTACGATTCTGGAAAAGGCGAAACGGGTACAGAAGACAGAACATAGACTGTTTCTCACCACCACTGAACTCTGGGCAAAGGTGGCACATGAACATTTCATTTACAAACTTCATATGAATGATTGTGACCTCGTTCCTGGCTTTAAAGATAAATGAAAACCTGTCACCTGAGTGTTCTGAACTTTCCAGGGCAGCTGGCTCAGCACCTTGCTCCCTTGTGCGTAGGGGGCAGAGCCGCCATGAACTGCGGCACTCCGCAGCATGCTTTTCCGACAACACTACTTCCGAGGAAAGATAAGATCTTTCAAAAATATGTGTTTATTTCCACAATTGCTTAAAACGTTTTACTAAAGAAGCAATACAATTTAGCTAAAAATGTTTGAAGGGGACAACACAATAATGTGTTTAAGGCACATTGAAACGTTTGGCATTAAACTATAAAAAATGTACAACTTATCCCAGTAAATTCAGACTCGACTTCATTAGTCCAGATGGTTTTCTTTGTAACACAACGTGTCCGCAGCACCAGCAGCTGACTGCAGGAGAGGCGGGGCCTTGCAGCGGGGCGCCCCATGCCGGCGGAGCTGCTGCCTGGTGTACTCCCAGACCAGCAGCGCCCCACTCACGTGCACGTTGAGCGAGCGGACGATGCCCTGCTGAGGGATTTCCACACACACGTCCAATTGCTGGATCAGGTTTGCTGGGATTCCTTCGCGCTCATTTCTGATGAAAAATGGGAAAAGAAAGGTTACTTTTTACTTTTCTTGTAATGAGCAGTATTTTCCTCAGGTGTTTCTGGAGGAGACAGATTAACAAAATAATTGTAAATTGCCAGGAAAATAAGAGGATAAAAAAGGTTTATGGGTCACCTGACCATCCCAAACAGGTAAAATAAAATGAAAAGTAGGGGGCTTTCTGTGAACATTACAAGTCAAAGGTCAAGTGCAGGTATAATATCAGGTCGTGCTGGGAGTCCGGGTGAACTAGCATTTCTGAAACATCTCTAGCCTGAGGTGACAGGAGTCACCGCGGCAGGGAACTGCGCACCCCAGCAGGAGCAGGGACTTCTCGGGAAAGCAGTACTGGGTCAGGTCGGCGCTCCGCGCGGTCTGCTCCACGCCGATGACCGTGTAGCCTTGTGCTTTCTTCTGCTGCAGGTAATCCCTCAGCTGCGCTGGCTTCACCTTCGTCGTTTTAAAAGAGCAGAGGTTAAATCACTCAGCTAGAGCCCTGCTTGGAATAAAATCAGAGTTTTAAAAACTTTTATTAAATTAAGTTGTTTAAAAGTCTTTTTAAAAAGGAAAGGACAGAAATACACATTATAAACAAGAACTCCCCCAACTTCATAGAAATTTATAGAAATTATTCCTACATCAACAGTGAGTTGAGCAGAACTCATTTTACTTACCGAAAATTCTACACATTACTTATTTCTCAAAATACAACCACATGAAAGATAATAAAGGAATGGGAGAACAGAATTGGACTGTATTTTACTTTACTTTTGAACTTTTAAAGGCTGGACTACTATAAACCACTGCAAATGAACTGCTATAGGAAGATGGAGCACTACAGAGTTGGGCAAAAGAAATAAAAAAATTTTAGTAACACATCACTTTCCACCCACCTCCACTAAAGGAAGCCACTGTTCCGCGGAGACACTGAGGTGCTGGAACTGTCTGTCGTGGACACACTGAAGGTTGCCGACCACCAGTGCCGAGGCCCCAAAGACCTCGCAGGTGCGGCATAGCCCTGCACAGAACAAGCTGCAGTCACTGTCCCCGGCACGGGGCTGAGTGCATCACATCCCGCACGCCCCTCCGGAGCGCCCAAGGAGGGCTGCACGTGGGGAGACAGCCTGACACTCGCATGACCAAAGGTTCTAGGCGAGCCCGGATGCTGCAGTTTTACCTCCTAGATTGGTTGGCTTATCAATGAGCGAGGCCACCACAATCAGGCTGCCGGTGCACTTCCCCAGCCTGGAAGCCCGGTCCTGAAACACTAGCTCCAGGTCCAAATCGGGAACGTCGTTTTTCCACGGGATTATCTTCTTCTGGACATCAGTCCACTCGGACGGGCTGTCCGCCTCGCCTGAGTTAGAGCCTGGGACGGAAACCAGTAACCCTGAATGTAACCAGTCTCTGTCTCGTATGCTGTATATTTACATATATATACATATGTTTACATATACACCGTATATTTACATACATTTTACATATACATATATATATTTTAGAAGTTTAAAATGATAGGATCAGATTCATTAACTGAAGAAATTGACTTGGATTCAGACCCAATTGCCATTTCAAAAGTGATTTTTTAAGTTTTCAAATTCAACCTGACTAACCAATATATTACATCTCATTAAAAATGTCAGGTACTTAGACACACATTTTTTTTTTACATTTTATTATCTCCAAAATGTTTACATTTTATTATTTCCAAAATTGGGAGACATCTTAGAATTCACTGGGTGTCATGGTTTGCTAGTATTTATTCTTAGAGGCGATAAAATAATGTGTATCTTACAAACAACAGTACATTAAATTAGAATTTTGTGCAGAAATACATTCCTGAAAACAATATAAATAGCCTTTATCCCAAATCACTATACAAGTATGTGGGGGACCATTTCTGAAGTAAAGGACATTTATTCTCCTGCCTGGTCCAATGAGTACGCAGGACATCACCAACCTTTCTGGCCACACTGCCATCTCAGCACTGACCTCGGCCTCTCCCTACTCCAGTCTGCTGACTGAGCAACCCAGGAGCACTAGGCTGCTGGGGCTGGAAAATGCTCACTGAGAACCACACCAGAGCACTACAGAGAGGGCACGCACACCCAGAATGGGATCGTTAGCATCTGGGGCGGGGGGGGTGATGGAAAGGCCCAGAAGGCTCACGGGAGGGGCGTGATGCTGTGCAGAGCAGAGCAGGGCCACGGCTGCACGGTGGTAGTGCCCAGGAGCAGGTGCTGGGCGGGGGAGGTGGCCCTGACTCCGTCAGAGGACTCTATGCATAATGACGACAAACTAATTCCACAGTGGGAGCTGGTAAAGGATTCAGGAAGGGTGACAACAGAAGTAGTTCTGAGTTTTAGAGAAATCCTTCTTAAAAGCGACATGGAGGTAAGTTGGGGCTGGAAAACCATTAAGAGGCCCTTGCTCTAGTCCAGGCAGAGACGGAGATGGTCCAAATTAAGTCTCTGCAGGAGGGGCTGCAGGAGCAGCAGCCAGATCACCCTGTACTAGATGGGTGGTGCAAGAGAGAGCACAGGAAGGGAACGGCTTGTGCGTGACAGTGACACTGCTACCAGGTGCAGAGGAGGCAAGTTGGACAAACACAGTTTGGATGTGCTGAGAGCAAGGGGCCTGTGGGGTGCCCAGCAGGCCCAGGGGAGAGCCGGGCTGAGAAAGACCTGCAAGTTGGGGTGGCCCCGGCGGTGGTGTCAAGCTGTGGAGACTAAACAAGAAAAGCAAGGATGACAGAACATTCAGGAGACACCAACGGCAAGGGTGAGCAGACAGACAGAACTGGCGCCCCGCTCTTTGCCAGAACACACAAATTGAACAGAAAGACCCCTTCAGCCTCTTGCCCATCCACTGGCAGAACTCGGCCCACCTGTCTGAACATGCCGTCCACCCCCGACCCCTCCCAGTGTCTGTTCAGCCCCCTGTCAGGCTGGCCCCACCCCACTGAGGCAGCTGCTCTTGCCACTGTCTTTTGCCCCAACCTTCACAGGTGCTGCTCTATTTGGGGGAACTCCTCCCCCAAGTCCCTGCTTGACTCACTCACACTCCACTTTGGGCTCAGCTCAGAGTCAGCTCCTTGCAAAGGCCGTCTTCAGCCTGGCACTAGCCCTCTGGCCTGCTTGCTCTTTCCCAGCTCGTTTTACCACCTGACACTGTGTTTGTGTTGGTTGGGGGCTGTCTGTCCTTGGGGAATGGAAGCTCCGTGAGGGCGGGGCCTTGGTCTGTCTGGCACACGAGGCCATCCGTCACCTCTGCTGAGTGAATAAGGTAAACAAGGTCTGTCTAGGAAAAGTCCAGCCATTGTTAATATAACAACAGTTTGTGTGACATCGATGTAGCCTGGCAGCCAAGGAGCGGGGACTGGAATGCTCATGTGTGAACAATGAAACTTCACTGCACTAGTCAGTGGGGGTGGTAGATGTCACAGAGTGAGCATGTGCACTGTGTGGCTGTCACATTCAAAGTGACTGAGCGAGCAGAGCAACAAAGCTGCATCACATTTTGTGTTAAGCTTCAACATTCCTTCACAGAAACTATACGGATGATTCAGAAGGCCACAGCTGTGGGCAACTGGTGATTGGCAGCTTCATCACGAAAATGCACCTGCTCATGTGTCATGTCTCATGTGGTTTTTTGGTGAAAAATCAAATCACCCAGGTGACTCAGCCCCCTACAGCCCAGATTTGGTGCCCTGCGACTTCTGGCTTTTCCCCAAACCAAAATCATCTTTGAGAGGGAAGAGATTTCAGACCGTCAGTGACATTCAGGAAAACATGACAGGGCAGCCGATGGTGACTGGGAGAACTGTGTGAGGTGCCAAGGTGCCCACTTTGAAGGGGACTGAGGGGTCACTGTCCTACATACAATGTTTCTTTTATATCTTCTTCAACAAATGTCTCTATTTTTCACATCACATGGCTGCATACCTTCTGGACAGACCTTGTATGTCTTTAAATGCACTAGAGAACCATCTAGAGTATCTGATAAAACATGAGCTTTCCCGGCTCTCCTCCAGACCCTGAATTACACAATCCAAGGTGGGGCCCAAGGGTCTGCCCTTTCAGCAGACTGTCTAAGGGGTCTGGATTACAATTTTAGAAAAATTGTTTGTAAGGCACAAGTGGGGGGATGAGAAGTCAGGTTGAGGAGGAAAATCAGGAGAGTAAGAAACGAGCCAGTAAATGTTACACAGATCTTGCGTATGAGAAGCGAACAGCGTCCTGGTTTTCCGAAAGACGTTTCCATGAGTTACGGGGCAGGGAGTCGGAACAAGAGCAAATTGTGACAGTGACGAGGACTTGGGCTATGGCTACACGGTTATTAAGACCAGTTGTGATTTTACCAATGGGTGGGGGCTTATTCCCTGGGCTTTTCAGGCGCTGGCTGGGAAGGGGAGGAGGAGCGCAGCGGGGGAGGGAGGGCCCCAGGGGAGCTGGGGAAGGAAGGGTAACAGGGGAGGTGACGTCCAACCAGACCGGGAGGGACTCAAGTCACGATCTCCGCCACATTCCTCGTGGGACTAGAAGTGTCATAACTGGCCACCAGCTTTACATCATGAAGCAGATCAGGCTCCCTTCGGCTTTCTATGGCAAAGCCAACGGTCACCTAAAAGTACTAGGCAAAGTCACACCGCATTTTCCCACTGTCTCCTCCCTAAGTGGAGGAGCGGAGTTCACCACATCAACGAAAATGTGTTACCAACACCTGTTCTAGGTGACTTACTAAGCCTCAGCAAGTCAACAGTGGGGAGAATAAAACGAAACGTCCTTTTACCTGTGTCCTGCTGAGCCCAGTCCCCCGGTCTCAGGTCACGGAGCTGGGTGGGACAGAGGTAGCCCTGAAGCCCGGCAGCCGGCGGAAGGTCCGTGAACCTGCTGAACTTGTCTATGGCGATCCACTCGTCCTCGATGAGGCCTGAGAGGCGCGGGAGGATGTAAAATATGGTCTGGAAAGAAAATCGTAAAATCTAAATTTTTTTCCCGTAAGAATAACAAAGAAATGCATGTTTAAAGCACAACTTATTAATGTAGTTTCCCAAACTATATCTGATGGAATTGCACACTTCCTGTCTTGTACAACTGTCTATATAATGTACCGTCTTTTCTAAGAAGCCAGGGGCTTCACCCAGGAGACCCTTGAGCGCAGGCAGCTCTTCCCCTCTGCTGTCCCCACGTGTATGTGACAAACCACCGCGCCCTCACGGAGGCAGAACGGGTTGGGATATGCTGTCACTGAACAGCGTTTGGAAAGCTGCTACCTAATGATCTCCACTTCTCCATCAGCACTCAGGTTCAAGCTCTTTTGATGCACTTGAAGTTGAGGCCATTTAGCCTTTCTTGGTTCAACTTCCTCACTTGCAAAGTGTGGATAAAATCAGGTAAAACGGCCCATGAAGAAACGTGTTTGGTACACCGCACAATAAACGATAACTATGTAGTCATCACATAAACAATCCTTTCTTACCTATGAGAACCGAGACCAAAAAATCTCCAAAGGTGAGCAGGCACAGAAGAAGCAGAAGCACAAGTAACAAGAGAGTTTAAAATGAAACAAATGTAGAACAACACGCAAGTCTTCATATAAGTCTTTAGAATGAATGTGAATGAATACGGTTTTCTTCATGCAATACTTGTGTAAACTTAAACTAGCATGATTAAACTAGCAGATCTTTAAATAGGCACTAATAGAGCTTACACACGCATAAATAAAAACACAGAATTCTTAGCGTTGATTTCATTTACACCTGCGGTTGTGATTCACACCACAAGTGAAGAATAAAAGGGGGGGTGACGTGAGCGTGAGGCCGAGGCAGGGACAGAGGAAGGCGAGGGACCTGCTCCCGCGGAGGACCGGGCGGAGGGCTGAGCGCGCGCCAGAGGGCTACCACAGACCCCTTCAGAGATGCCGACCAGGGCGCTCTGGGCGCGGAGGGACACAGAGCGGAGCCGGGTACAGCGCCTGAGAAATCCTGAACAGTCTTTGAGATGAAGCACCATAAAGTATGCAGCAATAATGTTCTGTGATGAGTATCTCACAACATACAGATCTGTGTTTTTTTAAAGGCCAGCTTATTAGGAACCCACCGAAGTAATTCATGTGTGCGCAGTAGCTGAAGATACTGGTACTTCCAAGTTCTTTAGAAAAAGAGAACGAGGTCAAGTATTTCAACTCAAAGGGAGAAAGTAGTACAATTTCTACAAGTTTTGGTAATTTAGATAGGAAGTTCATTGACATACGCTAGTTGTAATAATCATTTTTATGGTTCCTAAAATTACATAAGCACATTTGGGAAGTGGTGTATCATTTGCTATGCAGTCGCAGTCACCCAAGAACCTAGAAAGGCAATGAACAAAAAAAGATCTTTTTGTTTTTTCATTAATAGTGGGCTTCATTACAACAAAATCTCACCTGCACAAATGTTCTCACTCATTTCCTTTTAATGTCAGAACAGATTTCTGTACAGAGTTAAGCATCCCCCTTCCAGTGTCTACCAGCCCGACCCCGCCTGAGAAACAGAGAGTGGAAGTGACTGGCCGGTCGCCACTGCTCAAGAGTGAAACGCAAGCAAGTCATCTGTCTGCATGAAGTGACACGACTGAGCCTGGCGGTGTGAAGGGGAAGTGTGCAAGCAAGGGGCGAGTCAGGCTCATCGTCACCCTTCCACGACCACCCTTCAAGGCAGGGCGTGTCAGGCTGCGCGTGCAGGAGAGAAGGCACACGCGGGCGTCTCCGCTCACCTCCAGACAGTAATCCTCCAGCGGGTGAAATGCTGCGAAAAAGAAGTGGTCTTGGATGCGCTGCCAGTTCCTCTTGGCGTTCCTGGGGATTGAAGACAGGGTATGAGGCGCAGACCAGGGGGGAAGGTCAGACGTCTCACAGAGGTACTGCAGACTTTAGAACCAATGGAAAATACTGTGAACTTGATCCTGAGGTTTGTATACCCGTCTCCAAGATCAACCAACTTTAAAAACTGACACTGCACTCTGGCTGGCGTAGCTCAGTGGATTGAGCACGAGTTGCAAACCAAAGTGTCGCAGGTTCGCTTCCCAGTCAGGGCACATGCCTGGGTTGCAGGCCATGGCCCCCAGCAACCGCACATTGATGTTTCTCTCTCTTTCTCCCTCCCGTCCCTCTTTAAAAAAAATAAATAAATAAAATCTAAAAAAAAAACAAAAAACCAAAACAAAAAACCTGACACTGCGTCGGATCTTTTAAAATGGAACACAGAAGCAGACACCTGGGAGTCCCACAACAAATACTGATTCAGCAAGTGTGTGGCCCAGGAGTGCATGAAAAGCGCGGGGGCCAACCCAGCAGGCTGTGCAGAGGCCTGGGCTCCAGCGAGCGTGCTGGCTGAGGGACAGCGGAGGGACAGCACAGAGCAGCTGCGGGACAGACCGCTGGAGTGCTGGGGAAAGGGGTTCCAAACAAAGACGCTGCGAGAACTCTGGGCTGCAACCCTTAGGTCTCTGGCGGGAGAGGCTTTTTCAGGAGAGAAAACCATTAGGTGAGTCCCTTTCGCTACTCTGGAAATTCACAACACGTGGCCAAACTGACCAACTTTTGTAAACCAAACAAATTTAATGTGGAGCAGGGCTTGAATTCTTAACCCATCTGTTATGTTTAAAAAGGCAAAAGAGGTGAGGATAAAAATACTACAACATGCCTGGCAGGTTTCAGTTTGAATTCACGATCAGCAGCCAGAAGCCTAGGAAGCAATCCCAGACGCCTTCCCGGTGAGGCCAGGCCCTGGGCTGGAGCGTCTTCGTTCCCCGGAGTGCCCAGCCCCTCTCGGTGCAGACAGCAGAGCAGATGGCCACGCCACCCACCTCTCAGGGTGAGGGACAGATGCCTGCCCCTCCTTCTGCACCGTCCTCTTTCCCTTTGCTCCCAAGAGCCTCCTGGAAGGACAGCACCCCTGGCTGTGCCCTAGATCCCCGCCCGGGACTCCGCTCCGTGCCCCTCCTTCTGAGGTTTCCTGTCTTCTCTGGCCTTCCCTCCAGCCCACCTCGCCCCTCGGCAGGGACTCGGGAGGTAACTGAGGCACAGGCACACTGGAAGAGCTGATGAAGAGATGCCTGTTTCCGGGAGGAGCGGCTTGGGGGGAGTGGGGGGTAGGGGAGGGCAGGGCGGCAGGCAGGCTTGTTTCCAGGGCACCCGTCTGCCCCGCTCAGCCCCCCGACACCTACTGAAACACCAAGCTCATCAGAAACAAAGCAAAGGCCGTCCTCTGACAGCATGCCCACCTCCAACCACTGCTCTTCCTACACGTGACGGAGACGTGGTTCGAGAACGACCACACAACTTGGCAGTGTTCTACCTTCCTCGTCGCCCATTTGTTAAATTAAAGACAGGGATTATTTCAAACATTCAAGTAAAGAAAAAAGATTCGATGAACCTATCCTGGGATTTAACAAAGGAGAACAAACGGTCCCACCGCTTTGCCTCGTTTTAATTCGGTTCTGCCCCCGAAGGGCACCACGGAAAGGGCTCCGGGTCCCGTGGTGCCAGGGGGCTCTCACTCCTCCTTCCCGCAAGCCTGTGCACCGACCCCACGCTCACCTGGCTCACAGCTCCGCTCCCACTCTCCTGCCGGCCCCTGGTCACACTTTACAAGTTGCAAAAGCAAGCTGGGTGATGTCACTCGGGAGGGCTTCCCCCTTTGCTCCTCAGAAGGCCCACGTGGCCTGCCCCGCCCCCACCCCACCAGGGCCCCTGCAGTCCCGCCCTCCACCTTCACACTCTGTCACCTGGGAGCACAGCCACCCTTCCCACCCCCAGGGGTCCCCAACACTCTCTTTGGCCCAGAAAGCATTCCCTCCACTGCGTTTGCCAGCTTCCTTCCCGCCCTGCAGACGGCGGCTCCCACCAAACCGGAGTCAGCGGTCCGTGATTCCCGCCAAACCGAGACTTCTCCACTAGAGGACTCACCATCATTCAAACCCTTTCTTAATTGTTGTGATTACTTATCTAATGTCCGTCTCCACCTGACTGAACTCCATGAAGAGAGGGAGAGAGACCACCCGTCTGCCTGCCGCTGACCTCCAGTCCCCAACCTGTGCCTGTCCCAGAGCCCATGCTGGGGCGCCGGCTGCTCAGGAGCTGCCTCCCACCAGGGGCGCCTCCTCTGGTCGGCTGTATGTACTACGTGGTACTGGGATCTTAAAAAGAACATGTCGTTTCTCAGAAGAATGTTTTATCACTTAATAAAACCTATGAGCTGAGCTAATTGTTTGTAGAAAACAAAACACAGCCCTGGCTGGTGTGGCTTAACGAACCAAAGGGTCGCCAGTTGGATTCCCAGTCAGGGTACCTGCCTGGGTTGTGAGCCAGGTCCCCAGTTGGGGGCACAAAAGAGGCAACCACACACTGATGTTTCTCTCCCTTTCTCCTTCCCTTTCTCTAAAAATAAATAAATAAAATATTAAAGAAATTAAAACACAGATACCAAGAATTTTGAGCGGGGTCAACAACCAAGACACGCCAACACCAAACAGTAAGTGATGATTTGGTCCCAGAGAAAACTGCACACTGACACACGGACCCTATCTGCACAGTAAGGATTCCTTCAAGTCCCCATTCAGAGGGAGAAGTATGTTCCGTTAAAAATACAATTTCACCAATTGTACATTAAAGTATGATTAGGAACAACTTCTGCAGTTGGAGTTTGGCTTACTACATAATACAGGTGCTATGCTGGAAAACATTAATGTCTGAATCTACTCCTGTAGACAGCTTCAGCCGAGCATGCACGAAATGCAAGGAGTGATGGATGCACGCGCCCCCACACACGGGGACAGGAGGAGGCGTCGCAGGTCTCCTGAGAAACAGCCAGAGCTCCAGGGGCCCGCACACACCCGGGAAGTCAGGGGTTGTGGGCACTGCCACGGGGAATCCCTGGTTTCAGGGACTGCTGGGACCCACACTGAAGGCCGTTCCCCGCACTCTGCACCACCTGCCCGAGCGGCTCGCCCTGCCTGCTCCTCACCCCTCATCTCTAGCTCATCCTGCCCACCCCCCCCCACAACGCGCCTCTCCTCCTGGTCCCCTTCTGTCTATCACATGCAGATATATTTTAGGATGTTTGCTGAACTGAGTGTTCTTCTCCCGAGCCCCCAGACCTCCCTTCCCCACGCGTCACCGCAACGCCTCTTTTCAACAGCTGCAGTGAAAGGTAAGGTGGGCCCAGACCATCATGGCTCAGTTGGGTGGGCACCGTCCCACAGAGCAAAAGGCAGACTCGATTCCCAGTCAGGGCACATGCCTGAGTTGTGGGTTCGGTCCCCAGTCAGGGCGCATATGAAAAGCAACTGAACGATGTTTCTCTCTTGCATTGATGTTTCTCTGCCTCCCTCCCTCCCCTCTAAAAATAAACAAATAAAACCTTAAAGGAAAAAGAACAGTAAGGTGGGTAGAGGGCCACAGTACGTGGCCACGGAGGTACCTCGGCCGTGCACCCCACGAGGCTCAGCCGTGACTCACAGGGAGGCCTGTCTGCACCGTGTGCTAACTTGCTGGTCAAGGCAAAGGCCGACGGCTACGTGTTGCTGATTTTCCAGATACTAGCTAGTATGCCCGACTCGCTGCTTCCGACCTCCACCCATTGGTTTTTGTCCGTCAGTACTTTCGAGCACGCGAAGGGCAACCTGGTAATGGATTCTTACCACCTGGGCCCCTGCAGGGAGAAAATCTGGCCCTCCCAGGTGGTGACAGTCAGCACTAGTGATGAAGTAAAACAGCACCACCTTGGAGACGAGACGAGGCAGTCGGTCCAGAGACCAGGACACTCGGGCCTGCGTGTGCGGCGACCTCCCCGCAGAAGAGGCCTTAGGAGACACTGGGTCAGGCACCCCTCCCGCTCCACCCATGGCAGCCGTGATTCAGGAGGTCAAGATGGAGCCGCCGACCATCTGAAATGTAACTGAGCTGCATCTCACTGGGCCACCACGTCAGCTCTGCCTCATCCGTGTGACGCTATGACGAGCTGAGACGGGCAGCCTGCGACAAGCCGTCCCCTGTGCCACCAGGAGGACACTGCCGGCCACGGGCCCTCGCCCTGCTCCTCACCCTGCTCCGTGCATGTTCTCCACTTGACTGAGGCTGGACTCGATCACGGGCATCACGGCGTCCATGTCTTCCACCTGCCACGTCCTACACATGCCCCAGATTTTCTTCAGCGCCACCAGCGCGTACAGCCGGACGCTGAAGTTGTGGCTGAGGCCCCAGCGGAGCACGACGGCCAGGGCCCGCTTCAGGAGGGGCTTCTGGAAAGAGAGGAGGACAGTCCTTCACGTGGGCCATTCGCCCCAGATCGATGAGGGAGGACGGGGTCAGCAGGGTCGGCATGGACGTCCCTGCACGTGCATTAGCGGGACCCCCCATCCTCCCCCTGAGCCAGGCGGGGCACGCTGGCACCGCAGTCCCCAGGAGAGAACCCCCAGCGCTCTGCGCGGGATGCTGCGGTAGTTCCCCATCTCCAGGTCCTGGGCAAGGCGGGCGGGGTGTTTGCAGGCCGACCACTCTGCGACCATGACGTCTCAAAACCACGGCCCCATCCCCGGCCTGTCTTGGGCCGAGAACGTGAGATCACCCCTCAGGAGCCCCGCTTTCTGAGAAGTTGGAGGCACTCCCACAGCCAGGGTCCCTCCCTGTCGGGACTCTGAACTGCTCAGCCGTCCCCAGTGCCGACCCTGCACCCACAGGGCACCGCGGGGCGGCAGGGAGCAAGAAGTGGGAAGAAGAGCAACGAAGAGTTTAAGCTCCCCGGTCCTTTCCCGTGAGCGCACAGCCTGGGGACGTCACGCAGAGCCAGTCCCGGGTTTTAAAATGACACAGCTCGGCCGAGAGCGAAGGGAAGTGACATGTTAATGTGGACTCGGAGGGGCTCAAATGTCTAACACACCGCCGGGTGCCCCCTCGATGTTCCTGCGAGTGGCAGCCTGCGGGGAGCGTCTGCTGATGGAGTGAGGACTGAGGACTGAGGACCACCACACTCTCCCCGGGGACGAGCCGCAGGTGTGCGTGACCCTCTCTCTGTATTTCCCTCCTTCCTCGACACGTCCTCAACACAGACCAAAGGCCACTGATCTGCCAGCATGCTGCGGACGCTGCCGGGACACAGATACACGGATACACACACACACAACTGTAACACACACAACTGTAACACACACACCACCACCACCCCACCGTGATGAACGACTGAGACAAACGTCGCCTGTATCTGAGCAGGTCGGCACAGTGGCCAGCCGGGCCCAGCCAGGAGGGGCAGCAGTGCAGAGGAGGAGGTGCGCTCGCTGGGCGGGCGGGGAGAGCAGGGGGGTCACAGGGGCAGCAGAGAGAATGGCAGCTTCTCAGTGACACACTGCGTCTGAGCCCCAGTCCAGAAGGCGGAGAGCGGGCAGGCTGACAGTCACATCCCTCTCAGCCACCAGGACGCGGGCAGAGCCCGAGTTTGTTCACGGCAGAACCCCTGGGGCCCAGAGCATCACAGACACGCAGAAAGCACAGATGCCAGCGTGGGGGAAGGGGTGGGGGGAGGCGAAACCAAGGAGACCTCGTCACAGCGCCCGCCCCACAGGGCCTTGCCGCCAGCTGCTCTCACCCCACCGCCCACCCGCCTGGTCTCCGCTCACTTCCAGACCCGAGTCTGCGGGGCCTCCCTGCTCCCTCACCTCCCCCAGCAGGACCCCTGCCCCCCCGCCCCCCGCAACAGGCCTCACAGCTCTCCTCCCTCCTCAACCCTCCGCTCCACCCAAGTGCTCGCTGGGACCTCCTAACCCGCGTTCCCACCTTCTCAAGGCACAAGAGCGGCTGCACCCCCTGCGCCTCTCTTCAATGTGGCTTCCAGACAGCTCCTCCTCCTCCATCACGTAAAAACCACGGCTCCCCCTCCCCCGTTCTGAGCCCAAACCCGTGCCCCAGACCTTGTCACAAAACCTCTCACCGCTCTCTTCTCTAACATGTTAAAACCAGGCGTTCCAACTCCCGACCGGAGCGCCTCTCTCCGCTCTCCCTGCTGCTGCGCGCTCAGGCCTCCCTGCAGCGGATTCATCCAGTCTCGACCTCCTGCTGCCCAGCTCTGCACGAAGCCCTTAGCTCCCGGCCGGCCTTAGCTCCCAGCCGGCCTCGCTCTTCTGAGACTGTGCCCCCAGCCCTCTGCCGCTCCATCTCCTCCCCTTTAAGCGCCGGTGTCCCCAGCTTCTGTGCTGCGGGCCCTCGTTTTCTCAGAGGGCACATCCCTGCGGGTGGCCGAGTGTGTGTCCCTGGCTCTGACCCACCCGCGGTTCCCAGACTGGGGGCCACGGCCACTTCTCTTCTTTTAGTTGAACTTGTTCTTGAGCTGACTGCAGGCGACAATACAGACATCCCGGGCCTTATACACGGTCCGGTTCCCCCATGGTAGCGCCAGGTAGGACAGGTAGTAAACGGGCAGGGAGGAGGAGGAACAGTGTCCCCCACTGACTCAGCAGCCCGGAGCCCGGTCTGATGAGAGTGCCGGGAGACATCCGGACATCACGAGCAGGGACAGCGCAGGAGCAGGGGAGTCCTGGAGACTCTGTGCTGGGAAAGGGGGCCTCTGTGGCAACTTCGCTGACTTAGACAAAGAGCCGTTGCTGGCTGAGGAAGCCTCCGTAGCTGCACGTTATTCCCCAGGTTTAGAAGGGGGGGAGGAGGGGCACCTGGAGGCTGACTCAGGGGTATACAACCCCTGAACCCCCACAGCCGGCGCACTCGGGTTACCCGGGTGCCCGCCTGTAGCCTCGGCTCCGGTGTGTAGAACGCACTCACTAACACACTCACAACCTTCCCTCCCCCACACGCGGGGCGCCCAGACCAGCCAGGTGCCCGCCTGCAGCTTCAGGCTCATCTGCGCTTCCCAGACACGCCTGCCGTCTCGTTCCCAGTGCGCCTGCGTCTCCCACTTGAATCTGTCTGTTGACAGCGACCCAAGCATTGAGGAACAAGCTCGGGTGGGTGCAGTGGGGGGCGGGGGCGGGGGGGGGGTTGCTCCTGGCTGGGGCCTCCCCCTGCCACCCCGCTCCCCGCTCTGTAACGGAAACACTGGCAGACCGCAGCACAACAGCACCACCAGAACAGCGACGTCACCCAGCCCCCGGTGCCATGGCAGCTTCCCCGGTTTCATTTGTAGTTGTGTGTGTGTGCACGCGCGCACATGTGTGTGCACTGGGCTTGTGCTACGTCCCCTACCGTGTCACCACGTGTGAGTCCGTGTAGCCACCACCTCAGTCAGGACACTGCACAGCCCCCACCCCTGGGGTCCCTCCTGTGCCCTTTCTGACCTCACCGCCTCCCTCCCACACCCCTCCCTCACAGCTACTTTTGGTGCAACTGGCAGTGTTTTGAAAAATATTTAAATTTTATTTTTCAATTTTTTGAAAAATGTCTGAATTTTAATCTGTCGAGTTTAGCCACAGGAACAGGACCTGGTTACCTAGGCAGAAACAGACCCTCCTCACAGAACCTCAGGAAGCACAGGAGGAGCAGACTTGCGGCTCTCAGCTGAGCCACCAGGAGCTATGCCACAAACCAGCTGCACCCCTCTCACGATCAAGAGCCTCCAGCATCGCCCACGCCAGGCCGGGCCTCCCGCCATCCACACAAGCCCAGTGCTGCGCCTGTGTCTCTGCCCACGAAGCTCGGACACCAGGACCCCAGCTGGGCCGCCTCCACGGAACACACACCCCCACGACTGCCTTCCAAAGGCCACTCAGGTGCACGTCACCTGAAGGCCTGGCTGCAGGAGCACTGACAGACAGAGGTGGTGGCTCTCCAGCCCAACAGCCCAGGGCTCCCCAGCCCCAGCGCGGCCCCAGCGGCAGCCGGTGCCGTCCATCTGTGCACTGCAGGCCTTGCAGCCTCCCCTTCTCGGAGAGCACGCGGTGCTGCCGTATACTCAGTCAGTACTCGGCACCCGTGCAGATCACGTAACAGGGAACTGAAGGAATGCCGTCCAAGCACCGGGGTACGTCCCTATGCACCCCCCCCCTCCGATTTCTCACCAGTCTTCACAATCTTAATCCTCAGTCTGGGCTTTATTCTGCTCTCCTCCGCTTTCCTCACCTCCTTCCCCCGTCCCAGGGTCCCAGCCAGGCCACCCGACATTTAGCTGTTGGGCCCCCACCCTCCCCTTGGCCATGACAGTGTCCTGAACTCTCCTTGTAGTGACGTGCATCAGGTCTGGGGCAGAGGTCAGGGATTGTGCAGACTGGCCCCTGACTGGGCTGGGGTGATAATTCCACGGGGGCCATGGTGGTGTGGGAGGGGACCACCGACGCCATCTTCCTCACGTCCCATTGAGGGGACCCGCCATCAGCGGGACTGATCACTGTGGCAGGCCCCACCGTGCAGTCTCTGCCCCTGACACCCGCCCTCCACTCGCTGGAAGCAGGCCCCCAGGGCGGCCCTCACTGGCGGTGGGGTCCACTCCCGGTCCTGGAGGGCGGGGCGCCTGCGTGAATTACTTGAATTCTGCACAGGAGGTTTGTCGTCTCTGGTTTATCTATGCACTGACCCTCCATTTATTCTTACCAGTATGGACCTGCAGATGCTGACTTGACACTCTGGGTGGTAAGCCAGTGTCACTTCACTTACTGTGCTGCTCAAGCTGTTTCAGTCTTAGCCATTGGGAACCTATCCCAGATGTGTGTCTGTGTGTGTCGGTGTGTGTCCTTGTGTACACATGTGTCTGCATGTGTGTGGAAAGCGTTTCCTGACTTTCTGGCACTATAAGATGCTCCAACTTTATCTTCTGTATTTTCTGCCCCAGTTCTAGAATCTGCCATTTCTCCAAGGAGCCCGGTTCCTTCTAAGAGAGAATGGTGTTAGAAACCAACACCTGGGCGCTGGGTACGTATTACCTGTTAAGTGAAGAAAACCCACAGCCATCCTCGGTCGGGAGGACAGCCCTGTCACCATGGCACCCACCCCGGGGATGCCCGTGCTGCCCAGCCCAGCCGTCAGGGTCCTGCTCAGCCACAGCGGCGCCTCCTGTGCTGGCTGACAGGCTCCCCCACCGGGCGGCTGCCTGGCCACCACAAGCAGGGCGTCGTGGGTGCCCTTCTCCCCTAATTTCCCAAGCGCACGCAGGACCCTGACCTCTGCCCTGTGGGACAGCAGGGGGGAAGCTCATCTGACCGCTCCACAGGGCTCATGCACACACAGGCTGAGTGACGAAGGACACCCTGTGAAGAAGACGGGAAGCCCTCCGTGACTGCTTCCAGGAAGTCTCGGGACAAAAACGCAGCCACCAAGCGACAGCGGTCTGCACGGATTGGACATGGAGGCCAAGCGACAGCAGTCTGCACGGATTGGACATGGAGGCCAAGCGACAGCGGTCTGCACGGATTGGACACGGAGGCTCACAGCGTGAAAGAGCTCGGTCTTCACTGCGGTATCTCGGTTTGGGTTTTGTTTTTCCCAGAAGATGTTGAAATTGAGATGATTCTATTCCATTCATCAGCGTTCCTTTTTTGGATGTTTTGAAAATTAAAAATAAACCTAAAATATCTAATATACGGCCAGCACAGAAAGGACCTAACTGAAGACTGCCACGTTGTTCACACCAGATCTGACCGGACCTCTCCCAAAATGGGCCCGTTGTCAGCATCCATCTGAGCTGACCCCGAGCTCTTAATCCCCGCCCCCCACACGCCACCGGCCGTAATGCAGTGCGCCTGTCACCTCTCTCAACAGACTGTGAGCAAGGTTTTTTCTGCGCATGTTTAAAACGGGAAGTAACATTTAATGTTACCGGGTGCTAGAGCTTTCTTGAAACCGACACACGGCCATCGGGCGGACAGACACCGTAGGGAGCCATCAAGTTTACGACTACCGAGACTTCAGAGGTTAACAGGTGGGGCGGCAAAGGGTCCGCTTAGGACTGAGGAAACAGGCTAACAACTACATTTGACTGTTACCACTGCTGAAAGACAAGAACACACTGAGGAATTCTAGGAAACCATTTTCCCCTACATTTTTACTTCACTTTCAACACTAAACAATACTTCTTATTTCACACACCAAGTTTCTCCTAAAGCTTACCACAGATCTGTCTTCTCCACAGATGCAACAACCCAGAATCTACCTGGAAATCTCATTGGCAAGGTTTCCTAAATTCTTCACAGTTGCCACAGTGACTAACCGGAATTGGCTAGGATCTCTGCTTCCCTGGGAGCCCATTGAAGAGACTGTCCGGAACCTGGGAAGGGCATGGCCTTCACACTCCCAGATGGGGGTCATTTTCATCAGCCGTCAGTCACCCAACAGCTCTCAGTACTTTGACCATAAGTTCCCCTGTACGAGTGTTTGTTAAGTAACTATGCCAGTCAAAAAACAGCGAAATGCAATAGGAGAAGTCCTATTTAAATAGTCATAGTCAAATACTTGTATAAAATGAACAGCAGTATCACTAAAAATTGCCCTTGAAGGAGTCTGGTGATGTGCTATGTCCCTCGGTGCTTACGTGTGCGAGCTGCACCATCTCACTGTGGGTTCACGTCTAAGTGTGTGCACACTGGGGGGGGGGGGGGGAGGGAAGGGAGAAAGGGAGAAACTGAAAAAAACATAAGGAATGCTCCACATTTACAAAAATTAGTTCAAATATACAAAATTCTATTTTGACAGTCAAGTTTAAACTCTTCTTACAATTTAAACTCACCTTTTCTGGGATGTTTTCAGTAATGATGTCGAAATGTGACAAAACTGATAAGAATGTACAAATGCTTGTTTTCAGGTGCTCTTCCCCCTGGAAACAATCAGACACACAGAACAGTCATTCAAGGCTCACTGTGGTCCGGCCGACCCACTCCCAGCCGTAGCCGCAGCCCGCTGGGGATATGGGATTAACAGCAAAGACAGAAAAGTTAACTCCCCAGAGCCAAACACCTACATACACAGCGACCAGCAGACACAACAAGGCACTAACCAGCCTCCTGTGAGGGGAGGGGTGTGGTCGGGACACCTCCCTCCAGGAGAGGGGAGGACAGCAGGATGAGAGAGAATGGCCAGAGGGGAGTGGAGGGGGGGGCAGCAAGAACAGGTGGCACGTGAGCCACACAGAGACACAGACGTGAGTGGGAGGCGAAGGCAGCAACCTGGGGAACTCTGGGGACAGGGCTCGGACCTCAAGGGGGCCTCATGGATAACTTTGAGAAGACATGAGGAAAACCTTCGTGAGAGCATTCAAGTGGAATTCAGAAACCTTCTAAAACAGTCATGTGGGATGAACCCCTGACGGATGCCACACACACTGGGGAGACTCGGACAGGGCAGCTCAGGGTGCGGGGAGGGGGTGGGGAAGCCCAGCATGCACGTTGGACACTCGGGAAGCCTGAGTGTGACCGTGATGGGGTGGTGAGAGCCGCAGGGAGAATTCAGTGTGAGCCCCATGAACAGAGGACGGGACGTGCGTGTGTTTAGTGGACCAACCTCTGCCCCTGCAGTCTGGGAGCCGCCATGCCCCCATTCGCTCCTGTTTTCCAGCTCCTGATTCTGCGGCATCCTGGCAGCACCCAGGTGGCGTTCCAGGCCCTCTGGGAGCTGCAGACCGCCTCCGCCCCCACTGCTGGTCCACGTTCCCTCTTTGACTCACTGGGCCGAAAATGCTGCATTTCCTTACAGTGAACCACCCTGACTGATGCCCACAGTAAAAGGTCTGAAGAGGACCTACAAGGTCTGAAAGCTCTTTGTGAAAAGGGGGGACAGATGGCCAGATCACTGGGGACACGAGAGGTGGGGAGGCTCCGGAGTCCAGAGTCACCCCAATCCCCTGGAAAACAGACAGGAGAGGCGAGGTTAACGAAGCTGCAGGTCTGAGAAGCGCTGCAAGAAAGACGGACGGGATACTGCTCTCCATTCACGGACACGGAGGGGAGAGGAAGAGCCAGGAGAGGAAGCCTGGGCGTGAAAAGGAACCTGCTTCTGCACAAGTGACGTGCGAACACTCTACCTGACTTTCACGACTGGGGGTGAGGTGGCTCCTGGAGCCTGGGAGAATGAAGGTCGACAGGAACGGGCCAGCTGAGGGAGGGAAATCGCCATCGTTCCACTGTACGTGGATGAAGCTGACTCTGCGAAGATGATGACCCTGGGGATGCTGAGCTGGCAGAGACGGGCTGACAAGCACAAGGGGCGCAGGAAGAGCAGCTCAGAGCTGAATGATGATGAATAAGATAAAACCAAGACAGAAAGCAAGCGTGAAAGGGCCAGAGACGGCCGGCGTCCCAAGCGGGGCAGAGGCACACCGCGGTGACAGCCAGCTGTGGGCGGCTGCTGGGACGAGGCAGGTGAAGCGGACGGAGAGAGGCCCTCTGCTCTGCTGCTGCTCAGGAGGCCCTCAGAGCACAGGCTCGGAGGACGCCACGGACCCCAGTGGCTTCAGGAGAGCAAGAAAGGAGGGCAAAGACCACTGGTCCTCAAAGCTCAATTGTGCAGGAATGGACACCTGGACAGTGGCTGGAAGCAGAAGAATTCGTCAGATTAAGAGTGAAGATTTCAGAGGAAAGCCAGTGAAGGAAATGCAAACACTGTTCCTTCCCCTGAAACCGGAAGGAAGAAACAGAAAAGGAGATACGCACAGAGTTGAAGGTCACAAAGGGAGCACGGACTTGGGACCACTGGGCTAGTGCTTAGAAACAATTCGTTATTTGTCCAGAAGCCTACACTGTAAACTCCATCACTAATCTTAGTATCCACTCCTTAAAAATGATTTCTAGAACACACCCATTTCTCTCAATTCCTAATAACAAAAGCCTTTTCCATCCTTCTTTTGTTAGAATGGAAGAGCTCTCGAAACCACGGCGGTGCGCTCAGGCTGTGCCAGGGATTTCCGTCTCCTACATCAGTTCAAATCTTGCAAAACCCAATTTAGGAGTCAATACATTGGACACAGGATAATTGATAGTCAAAAACAACTAATTAGAGCAAAACAAATCTCCCAGCACAGCCAGCATCTTGCTTGATTTTAAAAAATATGAAAAATCTCTACTTACATAAGAAAAGCAATCCCAGAACTTCGGAAGAAATTGAGGGAACTTGTGAAGGATCAATATAATGATCCATTCTATATAATACTTTATGGATGCCTGGTTATTGCTGAAGCCGGCCTGGAAAATCTTGTCAATGATTCTATTCAAGAAATTCTGGGAAAAATAAAATTCAGAAGTTAAATTGTGTTATGGTTATTGTTTTAAATTTATTTTCACTGAGATATAATTTACATATAATACTGTATAAATTTAAGGGATAAAAATGCTGATTTGATACATTTACATGTCACGATAATACAGCCACCGTGGCATTAGCTAATAATGCCTCTATCACGTCGCATAATGGCCATTTCTTTTTTGTGGTGGGAACAATTAAGATCCAATCTCTTAGCAACTTTGAAAATGGTTATTACTTTTAATTTAAAAAATAGTCACCGTTAAAAAAACAGCTTGAAGTTTTATTATAAGGAAGTATTGAATCTACCGCTCTGCAAACAACGACCCTAATACCCGTGGACTGATATATGGTGACGAGACTCTTTTACTGAGTCCTGCATGTTTTACTCGGACATCTGTTCTGTGAGAAAGGTTTTTATCCTCTGTATTTTTACAGGGAAAAGGAAAGATTCAGAAAGTTAAACACCTGTCCCAAGGCTACGTATCTAGTGCACAGCAGCAGTCAGGGTCAGCTCAAGATGCACCACAATGGATGCCCCGCCAGGTAACTGGGACCCCAGGTCGCCAGAGCTGGCAGGGGGCAGACCAGCCTGGGAGAGGCAGAGCTGGGCCTCCTGGGTTTCCTGGACTGACTCCTCCCACCCCTCCTCTCCCACCCACACAGCCTCCCCAGCTCCCGCCCTGCACGACTCCAAAATCCTCCTCCCACCTGGCACAGTGCTCAGAAATCACACTTCTATCTGGGCAACTGACCGTCTGTAAGTAGCAGGCAAAAAGCGTTATCTCCTCATATGAGCACACAAAAACATTTATTATGTATACTTGTTTATTTTAAAGGAGAAAAACTCATCTTGAAAGAATTTCCCATCAGTAGCAAAGGAGCAGAAGAGCCCGTTTCGAGCCCCCACGGCAGTAGCATAAAGCGGAGCGTGACTTTAGGCTCGACTTGGCTGGGATTCCACCTGCACCGGCTGTGCCTCCGGTTTCCAGGGGACGCGCCCTGTGGTTTCCAGACTGCAGATGAGTCTCGGCTACGGACGGTGTGGAACACTCACACTCCCAGCCAGCTTGGCTGGTGCAAATTAGGAGGAGTTAAGTATTTAGATTTTCTAATCAAGTGCCATATGAAATGTTAAACACTTGCAGTGCTCCATTAAAACACTGAAAGAAAAAATACTCAGTGGGGCCAGGTAAACCAGGGTCTAACTTATTTCTGCAATACCTAATTGCCTTAGTATGCTTTCTGTTAGGAAAAAAGTTCTGAATGGCTTCAATTTTAAGCACTGAAGTATAAATTTTAAGCAGATTACTTTCTCCATTTTAAAATAGTACGTGACATTGTCTACTAAATAGTTTATTCACGTGGAAACATGCTTAAAGGTACAAATATAATAAATACTATACCTGATCAAATCTGGGGAAAAGGACCAGCAGAATCTGCCACACTCGGTTTTTCACTCTGTGTTGTTGAGAATTCACATAGTATCGAGTCCTAGACGTAGACGCCAGCTCATCCTGGGGGCAGGGGAGGGAGTTTATATTAAATCACTCATTGGATTTGTCATTCATGAACACCAAATCCATGACAACTTCACACTCAGAAGGTCAAACTGGCACCAGAGACTGTCGTCCTCCAAAAGGCAAAAAGGAGCATAAGAGAGTCAATTCTTTAGTTTTCAAAAAAGTGCATGTAGTTGCTGAACTTACCTGCTTTTAAAATTAGAAAAGGAACTATATAACTGCGGTATGAAAGTCTTCGGAAAGACACTTTATTCCGTTGTGGCCATTTAAGGGGGCCATGGGGCCATGCCGTGGGACAAGACGGAGGTATTGGACAAGTCTCTCAAGGCACCAATAGACACTTCTCCTTTTATGCCCCTTCCTCTCAGGTAAGTTCAAAACAGGCATCTGCCATTGGATGAGAACGCCAGGAAGAGAGCGCCTTGGGAAGCAAGCGGACAGGCGCTGCCTTCGCCAGGAGGAGAGCGGCAGTCGCGGGCCTCCGGCACTAGCAGAGCTCACGCCCGCGCATGCGCTCTGCCTGGTGGGGTCCCCACTGCAGTCACTTCTACGCGTCCTTCAGGAAACCAGCGAAACGCCGCTTCCTCTGAGACAGCACTCCTGACACCCACCGCGCAAAGGAGGACATTTTGGCGTAAAAATACCTCCTGGGTTTCATGTAACAAAGCTGACCAATGCATGGTGAACACTGCATTTCAGTGCAGGTGACTCAGTGGGTCGCACGATCACCAGTTACTTCCGGCGTCAGGCGCTGCGCCTGCCTCGTGTACTTGACTTCACCGCACTCTCTTCTCCCAGCCTTACTGAACCCGCCCCTCAGACACTGTCCTGCTCATTTACAAGTGCCTTTGCAGACTCAAAAACACTGTTCGCATTATGCCAGCTCCTGCATTATATCACCTTTCCACTCTACGGTTTCCATAAAAGAATGCAAGGATACATCACTCTAAATCCAACTGGTTTTGACTGGTTCTGGAAGGTACCCAGAGGGAAGTTCAGATAGTACAGGGAAAACATGCTTGTTCTCCGAACCACGCCTGAGTTGGACAACTACTCACCAACCTTTAACTAAAAATATGGAACATAAATCTCATTTTTTTCCTGATCAAAATATTTAGAAATACAAATTTCATCACCATAAAGAGCAAATGTTGGATTTTGACTTAACTATACAACAAAGATACTTTAAAGTAAAGAAAAAAAGCATATTTACTTTATCTAATAGCTTGATTGCAAGATCCTCCACGAACAGTTTATGAGACATGTCAGCGCCATCTAATAAACACAGGAACTTGACAGCACAAATTCTGACATAATGGTCCTCTCTTTGGGTACTAGAAGTATAAAATGATAGACCAGGTTAATACATTTTCAAAACAGAAAAATACCTCAAATATTAGTTTCAAAATATCAAAACCTTCCAAAGTTTTCTAAAATTAAGTAGGCCCATAATTAATGCAATGCTTGTTAATTCAGTACAGACATTAGAAGATAACGAATCTATCGAAAGGACGGCCTGTGCAGAAAGTCTGAACGGGCACGAATTCACCCAGATTTCTGGAAAAACCACTGTCGCACAGCTGACCCTGGGCTACTGATACCTTATCAGTGGACAAAACAGGCCTGCGCTCAAGGGGCTATTCCTGAGCCAGGACCATGGACAGCTCCACTCCCCCATGGGGCAAGGGGGCAAGACCCCGCCTCCAGCGCCCCATTGGCCACACTACAAATGCACGTCCTCTGTGTGAGGGCCCTGTTCAGGACATGTGCTCTCAGCATCCCAGTGTTTTCAGTATGCAGATGTGGAAAGATAAAGTAAGTGAACTTCCAAAGCTCACCGTAACTGCTATAACGTAAGCAAATGTCATTTTACTTTAACAACAAAACACTTCCCTAGTGGAAATTGAAGTTATTTTGGAACCATCAACTAAAAAAAATTCACTTTTGTTGCTACACTAAACTGGTAAAGGAAAAAAAGAACAATTTAAAAAATTAACAATGAAAATATATAATTTAATTTTTTTAAAGATTTTCTTTTCTTTTTATTTTTAGAGAGGGGGAAGGGAAGAGGAAAGAGAGGGAAAGAAACATCAATGTGTGAGAGAAACATTGATCAGTTGCCTCTCACACAACCCCAAATGGGGACCTGGCCTGCAACCCAGGCATGTGCCCTGACCAGGAATTGAACCAGTGACCTTTCAGTTCACAGGCCAGCATTCAATCCACTGAGCCACACCAGCCAGGAGAAAAAACGTATATATACATATATATTTTTAATGTATATTCTTAATGAAGGATGGAAGATAAAACATATTGGAATAATAAACACTGTGATAACTGTACACAACTATCATTTGTTGTCCTAAACTCTAAAATCAAAGTGAATAATACAACACCATCTTCTTTATAAACACCTAAACACACAGATTTTTAAGAAGTTATTTATTTATTTCTTTTTAGAGAGAGGCGAAGGGACAGAGAAAGAGGGGGAGAGAAACATAAGTGTAAGAAAAAAACATTGATCAGTTGCTTCTTGTACAAGTTCCAACTAGGGACCAAACCCACACCTCAGGCATGTGCCCTGACTGGGAATCAAACCCATGCCCTTTCACTTTGTGGGACAACGCCCAACAAACTGAGCCACACAGGTCAGGGCTAGACACCCAGATTTTTTAAAAACTATGTTAAAAAAATAAAACTTGCCCTGCTGGGTGGCTCAGTTGATTGGAGCATCATCTGTACACCAAAAGGTTATGGGTTCGATTCCCAGTCAGGGCACATACCTAGTTGTGGGTTCAATCCCCAACCAGGACATGTACAGGAGGCAGTTGATCAATGTTTCTCTCTCTCTCTCTCTCTCTTTCTCTCTCACTCCCTTCCTCATTCTTTAAAATCGATGGGCACATCCTTGGGTGGGGATTAAAAAATAATAATAAAAGTTTTTAAAAAGCTATTTTGATGATCTTCAGAAGCATTAACTTGGGGATTAGATGAATAGTTGTATCCCAGAAACCAAAATTTTAGGGTTTGTTCCAAGAATGATGTTATTTTTGTATAACCACTTTGACTTGTTATATGGTGACTTTTAGCCAAAAAAAAGAATAAAATGTGTGTTGATAATTACCCTCCAAGCCAAACAAAGAGGAACAGGGGTTTTTATGTTCCCCGTAGTCCTTTCCTTGTTTATGCTGGGCTCTGCACTCTAAATTTTTTAAAGTTTATCAAATCTTAGCAAATAGTGACAGATCTGAAGGAAATATATCAGTGGAATATAATTTTCTAACACACTTTTGAAGGCTCATTCAGTGTCTTACAATAGTAAACACTTATAAAGTTTAGCAAATGCAGAAAGGTTTCCACACAATGGCCAACTCCGAATGCCCCACTTCTGACAAGACGTGGGACCCCCGTAGCACTTACTTTTCAATGACAACGTTTGCTGCACAATCGTGTCCGAGATTTTCTATGAAGGTCTGGACGTCCTGAATGAGTCTGTCCGTAAAAAACATTTGACAAACACAACAGGTTTTAGACAGAAAAAAAAAAATTAAGACCCAACTTTAAAGTTAACTAGTACTTTATATTCTGCTCATTGAAAGCCCCAAAAGAAAAGCAACTCCACCCACATAGGTGCTCACTACGAGCTAGGACAGGCGGAAAGGACAGCGCCTTTACCTCTGATCGCGCCTGAACACAGTTCCGAACACACAAGCCTCAAGGACCAGCTCGCCGTAGTGTTTGGCAGTTGACAGAGACCCAGGGGACACCTCTGAAGCAGGAGCCACCCAAGACCGGCAGCAGTGAGTTATCAGGGTGTTGAAGACTCCGGTTTTTACAGCAGACATCTCAATCATCTTGTACATAATCTGGAAGGGAAAGCAATGGTCAGTGCAGCCTTTAACTGAGTGAGTTTTTTCCCCCCCCCAAAAAAATTACTGCTGCAGAAAACTGCCATGTGAGTGGCTTCAAATGATAGTTTTTAATATAAGTGTGAATACGGTCTGCGAAATTAAAAATCCTCATTATTAGAATTTTGCAAGGTGCTCAGTGGTCCCAGACTGTGAATTTCCACGTCTCCACAGCAACCACACCTGACTGGCACTGATGTTCATCCAGAGCGCTCCCGGAGAAGCCGCAGTCCGCACAGAACGGAGGGAAGGAAGCAGTTTCGGTCTCTGCGCTTTGTCAGTGGCCTCCCTTCCCGAGGCAGCAAAGACCTCGGCCTGTGAGTGTGTGCTGGGCCTCAGGAGAGGGCGGAGAGAGGCGGCGGGGACGGTAGGGTCAGAAAGGGCGTGCGTCCACTTGCCCCTCAGGTAAAGGCACAGGTGGGTTCCGAAGCTTGACGTCATTCCGTCGTGCTGTGTTCCCCACTACGGGGATCAGCGGTCATCAGCGCAAATGCCTCTGGAACCCAGAAGGGCCCCGTGATCGGGTTCCGTTTGCAGAAACGTGTCTCATATGCAGAAAGCAACGGCACAGATGCAGTGACCAAAGGCACCTGGCATTCACCCTCAGTGTCCAGAGGGCGTGAGGGACGGTGTGGACTGGAGAGGGGATGGGCCAGTGCATGGGCTGCCCCTGCTCGACGCCGGGGGGGCTGCTGTCACACAGGAATGACTGGGGCTGCCAGACCATCCCATTTTCCAAGATTTTCATGTATGTTCACCAATTCTGAAAAGCTGGCAACTCACTCCAGATTTTAAACATGGTATATGAACCAAACAGCATACATTCGTGGGGCAGACGTGGCTCATGGGCCCCCGTCTGACCTGCTCTTTGCCAGCTAGGGTTTCCTCATTCTTACAACATTGAAGAAGGTTCAAATGTTCACTGACTGAATAGACAACAACAAATCTAATGCGCAGTTACAAACATAATCCTTCTTCCTCATGTGCTACGAGGCCCCACAAATTACAAAGAAAACCACTTTTTAAATTAAATGCATTAGGTGGCATTGGTTAATAAGATTACATAGGTTTCAAGTGTGTTTTTTATCTAAAGCAGCAGAATTCATAGAAACAGAAAGGAGAAGGGTTACCAGGGGAGGGGAAGCGGGAGAGGTTAATGGATACAGTGTTTCAGCCCCCCAAGATGAAAAAGTTCTGGAGATCCGTCACAACAATGCGAATATACTTAACCTTCCTCAACAGACGTAAGTATAGGTAAAATGATAAATTTTACATTGTGTTTTTTACCCCAATTAAAAGAAAGTTACCTCTTTTATTTTGAAATACGCCTGGCCCTTGATTTTTGCAGCGATGGTAAGAACTTTGGCATCAAAAACAAACTGAACAAAAGCTTTTAAACTAGACCAGAATATCAGCTGAGTGTTGCTTAAAGAACATAGAACCTTCCACGCCATGTCGAAAGCCTCTATGCAGAGCAATTCGGAGGAGGCCAGAAGCTGGTAGAAAAAAGAGAGACAGAAATACATAACTAACGTTTAATTTCAGAAACTGACTCCCCCCGCTACAGTTATTTCTTAATTCACAGCTCACTGTGCCTCACCTGGGGAACCAAAAGCTTCATGCAGTGGAACACAGGTAAGACCTGGTCGGAGGGAAGGATGGTGAGGGCTTCTAGCGCGGACTGCAGCGTCCTCGCGGGCATCTGGACGGCAGGCAGGACGGGCTCCGGGGGGCCACCCTCTGAGGGCGGCGGGAGGGTGTGGTACTTTTTCAACAGAAAGGAGAGGCAGACCCACTGGTCATGAATATACTGTGCAGCTATTTTCCCCCATCCTTGGGAAGACGACGATTCTTCAAAGTCACTGAAACGAAAAGAAAGTCACTGCCCGCGCTTCCTCGGTCCGTCTCCACTTCCTCTGCACGAGCGCACTACCCTTTCACGGGGACGAGTGAGCAGACACTGTCAAACACCCGTCTACCAGGACACAGAGAAACCACAGGAACTGCGATTTTTTCTAACCACCCTAAAAGCAGGTACTCTCACTCACTTTACACGACTCACTAAGAACTGAATGCGGAAAGTCCATGGGTTTCCAGTAGGGGGACGAGTAACGTGGTGACACGGGATCACCCTGAATGGAGCCTCGCCCCCAATTTCCACAGCCCTGTCCTCAGAGTCACACGGTCCCCTCGGGGACCGGAACAAGGATGGACGCCCAGCGCGAGCAGCGGGGATGCCTCCCGGGGACACGCTGCACTCCGGGGGGCACACACCTGCTCTGCTCCTCCAGGCACGGCTTCAGCAGCATCTGATTGAGCGGGAGGGAGGCCAGGAACCTCTCCGCGGGCCCAGCATCCGGCGGGTCTGGCTGCAGGTCCAGCTGCAGCTCCGGCTTCTGGTCTGTGACCTTGCACACCGTGGCCAAGGCCGCCATGCTGACCACCCTCTGCACCTGCCTCCCCAGTGTCGGCTCCTGGGGAGGGAACACAGCACCGTGTGTACCAGGAGCCGGTCTCAGCGGGCCAGGACCAGAGCCGCCCACCACCCACAACAATCCCTGCCCTCCCTTCCCTCCTGCTCCTGAACAGCAGAGGGAACAAGGGAGATCCAGCGCACACCATGTGGTCTGGCGCGCCTCCACAGACTGGTGAACGGAAGCATCCACAGCGGCAGCTGACACCCAGCGGGGCAGAGGAGACAGATCTCCTCCCTGGCAGGTGGGTGCCCAGGGCAGCACCTGACAGACCCCCACCAGTCTGAGAGTTCGGACTCTCCGCCGCTTCCTACTCAACTACCCCTCTGGACCCAAGAGCCCCATGGTGAGTCTCACTGTAACTGCTTGGCTGAAGTATGTTCTAAAAAGGCTCCAGGCACATGTGCACGTAACCCCTTCAATGAGCTGCACGCTGCTTTGGAAGTGGCACGGCACGGCCGTCAAGGGCTGGACTCAGGAACCGCATGGCCGAGGTCTGGCTCCTGCTCTGCACTTAGGACCAGCGTGACTGTGGACACGCCTCACGCAGTGTGTTCCCCCTGAAACGCAGCAGCACAGAGCCCGCCACCAGGGCCACCATGGAGGCTAAGTAATGGGGTGTTTCACATGGAGCACCCGGGGTTCTTCATGGAGGAGCACAGAGGGGGAAACCAGGACCGCCCGGCTCCCCGCTCGGGGAAAGTCAGCCACCTGCAACCACGAGGCAGGAGCGCGGGCAGACACAGCCGCTGCGCCCAGACCGCAGCGGCCCTCCTGACACTGCCAGCAGTGACGTGCGCCAGAAGGAACCGCCGACCCCTGACCCCACAGGTTCCCTCGCCCCCCAGAACATGGCATGTATCTCTACGAGTTTTACACAGCAACACGGTCAACACACAGAATGCAATTTACTGTTGCTTTGGCACCACCGTGGTCCCTGTTAACCTTCACGTAACTCCATGAATGACTACGGAAAGCAAGCCCGCCTTCAGAATTACTGTGCGTGGTCCACGGTTTGGGCCTTTCCTGTCTCTGATGTGCTAACCTGTGCTAGCCGGGATGCTATCATTTTCAGGGCAGTTCTTCAAAACTTCCAATTAGGTGACTAGAGCAATCACACAGTTTCATTATTTTAATTAGCAGCCCAGAGTCAACTATGATTCAGGCAAACTTCAGCCAGCACTTACCCTGTGCTCGGTAAAAACAGCCCACGTTCCCTGAAGACTCTCTACGTCCCAGGCGCTGTGCCAGCATGCACCAGCTGGCTCGAAGTCTCCCCTCAACCCTGTACCCTCCCATGTGGCTGTGGTGCATGGGGCCCAGGGAGGTTCCGTCACGTCCCCGAGGTCACCCAGCTGGCGAGGACAAAGCCGGGATGCACCCCAGGGAAGTCTAAACTCCAAAGCCTGTGCTCACGGCCACTAGGCCTTATTACATCATGTTTAAGAAAGGCTTCTGTGCTCTGAAATCTGGTGCAGAAGACGCAGACACATGAGTCCCTCCACGAACAAGTGGACGGAAGTAAACACCATAACGGAGGCATAAGCAGCAGCAGGAAAAGGCAGGAAAGAAAGTGTGAGGCCCTGACCCAAGAAGGCCTCCGGGCAAACGTGGCCCGAGTTGGGCCCGCCGGCTGCTGGCAGGCGCACACTGGAGGGAGGACGCTCTCAGGGAAAGGACGGGGCAGGGCGGCACGTGCCTGTGGCCTGTGACACTCTGCCTGGTGGCCCAGAGGGACGCGGCCCAGAGGAAGGCAGCAGACGACACAGTCAGACCAGGAGGCCGAGAGCCGGGCTGGGGGCTCAGGACCCCAGGCCCATGAGTGTGGACACACAAAGGCCCCTCCCTGCTGCCTGAGCAGGACCTAGTGCGGACCCCCTTCCGAGATCTGCACGGCGTCAAGACTGAAGCCGGCACACTGTTGTCGGATATCTAACACGACGGGTGTCCCGATCCTCATCCAAGACGATGAGCGAGGGATACTATATTACAGACTAGGTTTCAGCAGATGCTTTTTATATCAGAATACTGTGTGGTCATCAAATACGCCTTGTCCCACAGAACTACAAACCCCGGATCACAGAGCAGTACCTGTCCGCCGTCTGTGTCTTGAAGATGCCGAACGCACGCGGTTTTCAAAGGAGAAACCACTCTCCAGACGGGGTTGCCTCTCTTCCACCCCGCCTCCCGGTGGAGACCTGTGAGCTCCGTGAAGGCCTGCAGGTACAAGCGGCCACGGTCCAGGTCGGGAACCTAAGGGAGACGAGAAGACGCTGAACGAGCAGGGCCCGTGAGGTTCACCAGCCGCCAGAGCCCAGACAGGAGACCATTCGTTTCCAGGCACTAAAACCGCACATCGATGAGAGAAAGACGCGTTCCACCCGAGGAGCCTTTCGTCCACTCCCCGTGAGGGCAGGTCCTCCCTCTCTGTGCGTCCACACGGACCTGCCTTCTGCACGGCCACCTCACAAACCGAGAGCGACTGTCCGGCTCCCACCTGGGCTGAGGCCCGGGAAGGCAGACACTATGTTCCCCCGATCCCTGCCCCCAAGGCTAACACGGCGTCAGTAAGGTGATGAGGCTTCCTCTGCTCCAGGCAGGTCGCCACACTCCCCTCTCACAGGGAAGGTTCGGGGAGGCCAAACAGCTTACCTGGCACCTCAGAGCCAGCCAGGGGGGGGGGGGGGCCACAGAACCAACCGCAGGTCTCGTTGAGCCCAGGCCCCCAGCAGACCTGGGTTCAGAACAGCTCTCCCACTCACCAGCTCTGTGCCCGACCGCAGCCACCTAAGCTCCCTAGCCCTCGGCTCCTCGTCCATACGACAGGGAGGGGCACATCTATCCATCACTGGGTTCTTGAAAGAACTGAAAGTATGCTAAATGGACCATCATGGGGTAGCTGTTATTAGGCCCTAATGATTATTACTATCCCAATTACTATACCCTCGGTGACCATCTATGGCACACAGCAAGCACATACTTCCTGAATGTACCAGTTTTCACTGAGCGGCCACGTGTGCCAGGCACTCTGCCAAGGGCAAGGACAGTGCCGGGGTCCCTACGGTTTGGGCGCCAGCAGCTGGTTGGGTGACAGCATGCGGACTGCGAGGGGCACCCGGAGAAGCTCCCGGAGGAATGACAGGGGTCCACGGTGAATGCCTAGGTGTGAGAAATTCGACTTGCATTTTCTTTTTTTTGTTTGTTTGTCTTACTTTTTTAATGTAGAACTCCCAGTTCTTTAAAAAAAAATTTAATGCACTCGCTAACATCTGAGCACAGCTTATTCGGAACACATCCACTGGTGAGTTGGATCCATGTTGAGTTTTCAACAGCAAGAGGCTGAGCGGGCGGGAAGGTCAGGAGAGGGCCGGGGAGGAGGCAGAGACAGGCGGGTCCCTGGCCAAAGGGAAGCTGGGGCTACATACAGACGGGTCTCGGGGACAGACCGCAGGGGAGAGAGCGTGGGCTTGGAAGCAGCTGTGGAAACTGAGACACCGCTCGAACCGCGGCCCCTCCGTGAGAGCAGGAGCGGGAGGTGTGGGCGGAGAGGCTGCTGTGGAACTCCGAGCGACCCAGAGGATGCACGTGATCAGGGAGCCCAACCCCTCATGTGCTGAAGGGGGCGTATGTCCAGACAACTTTAAACTACCAAACACCGAGTGTATTTTTTAACATCTTTGCTTCTAAAAGATGAGATCACATTAACCTTTTCATTTTTGAAGTTATTTTTAGCTTCCAATTCCAAACAAACAGAAACACTTACACTATATCACGGGCACAATGGGGTTTGTTTTACTTCTTTTGTGTACGTCTAAAAATTTCCATAATCAAGATGTAACAATACTGACAACAAAGTGACACTGGGGCAAAGTAAACAAGTTACCGTTTTGTTTTAGTTAAAAATAAACACGCCCCACCACAGCTTTCATTTCCTCAAACACTCCTCACTCAGAGGGTCTTTTCTTCATGGTTCCTTGCCTTCCTGTCATAACACCTCAGGTCTTTCAGGATAAAACCTGTCTTTTTATATGTTCACACATGCTTATCAGCTATTAAACAGATGCACTTAATTGGGTATTCTGATAAAAGCTGTTAGAATAAGTATATTTTCTAACATTATTGACAATGATTCTAATTGCTTCAACATTGCTCCCTAGGGAACTCAACGAAAAAAGACAATTAAGAATTCCATTTCTGTAAGACTTGGCATTTTAAAGACATTTTTGGATAAAGGGACAAACTTCACTTTTTTCACACGGCCCAGAAAGAGGGGGCGGTGTGGAGAGAGCAGAGCCTGAGAGAATGGCCTGCCCACCCAGCACCCTCTGATCTCCGGCCGCTGGTTCCCGCCCGGAGGCATCTCAGAGTCCCTTGCGGGGCTCTGCGAACGCAGATGTGGCGATGCCGGCCCGCCCGCACCTGCCGGGTCCGAGTCTGGACCTCGGCACCAACGTGCCTCTGTGCTCCGTGCTGCCCGCAGGCCTGGCGCAAGGGCCTCCGCAGACCCAGGCAGAGAGGGGCAGCCCCCACCGTGTGGGGAGGAAGTGGAGGCTCACTGAGCGACCGCACTTTCCCAAAGCCAGGGTCACCACCCGCAGGGACCAGCACTAGAGGCTGCACGGCTCCTACTGCCCGCATCCTGGGCCGGCTCTCAAGGAACTGCCTGTCGCAGTCGGTCCTTCTCCGCTGAAACGCAGTGGCTGGGCCCGCGCTCCCCGCAGCAGCCACAGAGGTGCGAGACCACCCCCCACCCGCCGCCCCATGAATACTCACGCTGCTCAGCTCACTCATGGCAAGTCTCCTGAGGACGAACTGGGAGATGCTCTCGGCCGCGGCCGCCACGAGGTCCTGGAGGAGCGGAGACACCTCGTCTGTGCGGAGAGAAGTGCAACGGGGCGAGTCAGGGGCGCTCTGGTGCGAGGCACGCCCGTCTGTCTTGGAAGGCACAACCATGGGAAGCACACGGGTTGGTCATGCACCGAAAATGGGTTCTGAAGATACAACAGTCGTGAGCACTGTGGGAGGCTGCCCTTACCCTGAGAACCCCGTGGGAGCCGGCGGGGTGGGCCGCAGACCAGCCCACGAGGTGTCTGAAGCACAGTTTACAGACTGGACGGGTCAAACGCGCCGGCGGTGAGACAGCAGTGGCCTGAGAGCTGGGGGTTTCCTGGCCTCCGCAGGCGGGGCCCAGGGGGTCCTGAAAGTGGGGGCACGACGGCCAGAGCAGGACAGGTGCACCACAAGGACGCAGACAGCGAGTGGTCCGGAGGCCCACGGAGGGGAGGTGCACAGGAGACTGACTGGCCCCAGGACCGCAGGCTGCCGAGGCCCCTGGCTCCTCCACAGGCCGGCCCGGGTGGAGCAGGCAGGGCTCCGGGCAGACGGACGCACTGCCAGGGCTCCGAAAACAGGCTGCAGGGAACCCACAGCTGTGGAAGCTGGGCCGGAACCGAGGCCTCACCCCAGCCAGGCTGCCCGGGTGCTGAACAAAATGCCAGCACGCCCTGGAGGATTTATGCCAGACCCGGAGTCTCATCACAGAGCGCTCAGGATCCCCAGACACGCCCGCCGAGCCGGCGAGAGAGCGGGAAGCGTCGGCAACGCCCGGGAGAGACCGTCTACAAATGGCACCTCGGAGGCGCCGTTCATGCCAGAACAACGTGACCCAGACTTTAAAGCGGCTGTGTGTAGGAACGCTTCAATAGTCAGCCAAGAACACTCTTGAAATGAATGAAAAAATAGAAAGTTTCAGCAAAGAAACAGAAGTTCAGCATGAAAAGCAAACAGAAATTTTGTCATTGAAAAGTATAACAACTGAAATTAAAAACAAAAAAAACACCTCACTCAATGGGATCAACCACAGGAAGGGGATGCAAGAGAAAAGTCGGCGAACTTGAAAACAGATCCGTGAAATATGCGATCTGAACAACAGGCGGAAAAAGTGATTAAAAAATAAGCAGAGCCTGGGAGACCTGTGGGGTCGTCACAAAGGTCCAGCACCCATGTTCTGCGAGTCCCGGAGGAGAGCAGGCTGGTGCTGAGAAAAGAGCTGAGTGAAAAAACTGGCTGAACACTGTCCAAATTCAAGTTCGGGAAACCTAAACATCAGTAAGCACAAAGAAAGTCGTGCCCAGACACAGTTTAACCAACGTGCTAAAAACTAAGTACAAAGAAACACTCTTGAAAGCAGAGGAAGCAGCACAGCGCTCCAGGGATGAGACAGCAGGGGGCCGGAAGCAAACCGAACATCTTTGCACTGCAGAAGAAAAAGATCTAAAAAATGCAGTGTTATGTTCAGTGAAAATATTCTTCAGAAGGGAGACAAAGACATTCTCAGACGAAGGAAAACTAAGAGCATTCATCGCCAACAAGCCTGTTGTAAGAGAAATGCTACGAGGTGTGTGTGTGTTAGTTTTTAAACAAAACAGATGTGACATCAGACAAACACAGGAACAGGGAAATGGACACAGAGCAGAAGGCCCATCAATCAACAGGTCAGTGGAGCAAGCTCTTCTCCTAAGTTCTTTGAAATCTGTTCAATGGTTGAAAGCAAAACCTCTAACACTGTCGGGTGGCGTTTTCAACAGATGCAGACATAAGACAACTGTAACAGTGGGCGGGGATAAAGGACCTGCATTCACTTCAGGTGGTAAAATGTGAATTCTACCTACACGTGAAAAGTTGGATATGCACAGTGTAGAGAAAATGAGCAGAACACAAGAAATAAAATGGCAGGCCTAGACCCAACCATACAGCAATTAGGTTAAATGCAAACAGTCTACACCCACAAACACAAACAACAAAGACTGTCAGAAAGGACGGAAAATCACGCCCCAACTATATGCCGTCTGAAGCACGCGCTTGAAATAGAATGATCTAAATACAATAACAATAAAAGGCGAGAACAAATACACTGGGCAACTTCTAACCAAAGTGGGAGCGGTCCTATTACTCTCAGGCCAAGTGTCACTCAGAGAAAGTCACCAGGGACAAAAAGGGACACCACGTGGTGACAGCATGCAGCCCCGCACGGGGACACCCCTGACGACAGGAAGCAAAACTGGCGAAACTGAAGGAGGAGAAGACAAATCCCAAAGTACAGCTGGAGATGGCGACGTCCCCCTCTCGGTACAGAAAGAGAAAACAGGAACTCCACTGGGATGTAAACCAGAAAACCCCGTGAAACTCTGGGTACACGTGGCGTTTACAGAGTCCCCCACCCAGCCGCAGCAGCAGCACACGTGCTCTTTTCAAACAACACGGAACTTGCACCCAGAGACCCTGCCGTAGGCCATCACACCAGCCTCCGTGACTTTTTAAGGACTGAAATTGTGCAACACCTGCTCTCTAACTACAGTGGAATTAACAACCAATAATTGAGAAATAAATGCCAGCCCTGGCTGGTGTGGCTCAGTGGATTGAGTGCCAGCTTGTGAATCAAAGGGTTGCCGATTTGATTCCCAGTCAGGGCACAAAAGTTGGGTTGCAGGCCAGGTCCCCAGTAGGGGGCGCACGAGTGCAACCACACATTGATGTTTCTCTCTTTTTCTCCTTCCTCCCCTTCCCCTCTGTCTAAAAATAAATAAAATCTTTTTTAAAAATAAATAAATAAAAATTTAAAAGGGGCATTATTTGTGCCAGACCCTGTATAGTTGGCTGTGCTTATTAACTTGGTTCTATCAATCAAAATAAAATGGAATGACAAAATGAAAAAAAAAGAAAGAAAGATGAATGCCAACGCGACACCTTGCCCAGGATAACAGCGAAAAGGTATCTCACTTAAACTATCCAAAACAGAACTTCTCATCTTTTCTCCAAAACCTCCTCTGACTCCAGTCTTCTATCTTGGGTCCCCCTTCGTGCCCTCAGAATGAGAACACACCCTGGGGAGACTCACCCCCCACCCACCCCCAGGAGACACACAGACGGGGTCCACACGGCACTGTGAGCAGCAGCAACCCACTGAGCACCGCCCCACGTCCTGCAACAACAGGACAGGGCAGCACCGCGCTGTCACCGCGCAACGGCGGCTACGCAACTGGAATAACAAAGTCGAAGACAGGACCCGGAGGAATCTCAGAAACGCGCGAGGTGAAGAAAGTTACAGAAGACTGCTTCCATGAAGTGCCATTTCTGTCAAGGTCACACGCAGCAGAACGAGACAACACAGTGTTGAAACCTATAGATCTGGTGAAGCCACTTTTTAAAGAGCACAGAAGCGATACAGAGAAAAGCCAAAACGAGACGGCGAAAGCAGCAAACGGAGGAGTAACAGGGAACTCTGTTCTTAGGTTGGGCAGTGAGTTCCCAGGTGTTTACTTTACATCATAACATGTACAACCGGCTGTGACTCAAACATCGCAACAGCTTTCCAGGAGGCGTCACGACCCAGTCCTCCGCCTGGAGGTGCTGAGCCTGGTCACACAGGCAAGGCAGGGTGGGCAGTAACTCTGGCAAACGCTGTCACAGAGCTTGCACCCCTTGCCAATGCAGAAGGATAAAAGAAAGAGGGTTTTTAAAGGACGGTTACTGCTCAGCCACTTATGTGAGGTCCCTGGAGGAGGCAAGGCCATAAATACAGAACTGCAATTGGGGGGGGGGGGGCCTGCGTTGGGGGGGCCGGGGGAGAAATGGGGAGTTCCTGGTAAATGGCAGAGTCGGTCCTGCACGGCGACGAGCCCTCTGTGGGTGGAGGGTGGTGAGGGCAGCAGAGCAGTGTGCGAGCTCAAGGCCACGGACCTGCAGGCTTGACGAGTAAGAGGGTCCGATTTGTTATGTTTATTCACCACAAAAAATAATAAACACACACACACACAAAATGCATATCAAATGAACCCAAATTTATGCTGCTACGGAATGGAATATCTTGTAAGAAGTCACCGTTCTCCATACAGCATTTGTTTCTGCAACCATTATCAAGTATATCAGAACTCAGAAACTAGTTTTACTACTTCATAAGCTCATGTTAAAATCTGCCCTCATCAATAGTATCCTCGGGTGTAAACTAATACCAATGTTTCTCCAGAATTTCTTTAAATTTTAAATGTCTTCAACCCCAAATGAAATGGGTCGGGAAGGACTGGAATCAAGGTTTCCCCACCACCACGCTCCTCCGTGACACCTGCCACGTTCTCAGCCGCTGGCTGACGCACCCCTTAGTGCCAGGAGGGAGGGAAGGGCCCGACACTTCTGCGGACACTTCCCACAGGGAGCGTCTTCTCCTCAGAAGGTGCCCAGAGTTCAGCATATTTAAAAATAACACGGCTGTCCCCCTCACCCTTTAGCTTACTTTCTGCAACAGCCTAGTGGCAATTAGAAATGCATCTTGCTTAAACATACATGAAAGAATGATCATTTCCAATGGTCTAAAAATCAATGAGCAAGCATAAATTTTAAAAAATAACAGCAAACGAAATCACATTCTAAAATCTACAGTAACCCACAGATGTACGCCCTGGACTGCCAGCTCCTTGGGGGCAGAACTCTGCTCCTCCCCAGCTGTGTCCCAGGCACACCTGCTGAAAGCATGAAATGGCCTGTTTGTTTTAAAAGGTCAGGAACTTCCTTTCGTTCTCAATGCCAACTGCACACCAAGCGGGGCCTGGAGAAGCCACCCCTCCTCACCGTCTGGGGCTCGGGGACCTCTCGGCGTGCTGGTGCGCAGGAGCATCACCAGCAGCTGCAGGCACCTGTCGGCTTTCAGCACCGGCATGTAGGCGTTGGTGCCCAGCTTCCCAAGGGCATCCAGGAGAGGGTCCAAGAACATCCTCAACACGTTCTGCGTCCTCCGCTTCTCACTAGCCATGGAAAAACATAGCCACATTAAGCATTTCTAAAGGAGAAAGAAATTATTTCCCAACCATAGTTTGTGGGGCTGGTAACTGATGGACTCAGTGGGACAGAATCACCCTGATGGATGATCCGAACACCCGATGCCTCACAGGACTGACGCCCCTCCCGGCTGCATGCGGACCCTGCGGCCTGTGCTCGCTCTCCCGGGGAGAGGAGCGTGTCGCCAGGCGGAGGCACAGGGGACAGCGTGCACACGCAGCTCTGCACACACATGTGAAGGAACGTCCTCTACCCGTTTCACCCATGCATTAAAGTGCCAGGACCCCGCCTCCACATTTCAGTATCAAACAAAAACAAATGCAGCCCTGGCAGGCGTAGCTCAGTGGATTGAGCATGGGCTGCGAACCAAAGTGTCGCAGGTTCAGTTCCCAGTCAGGGCACATGCCTAGGTTGCAGGCCACGGCCCCCAGCAACTGCACATTGATGTTTCTCTCTCTCTCTCTTTCTCCCTCCCTTCCCTCTCTAAAAAAATAAATAAATAAAATCTTTTAAAAAAAGAACTGAAAGAAACTTTTAATAAAAACAAATGCTAGTCAAGGAGATGAGACGTGTTAATGAAAAAATATATAAAGAATTAAGGATTTACAGAAAACTGTTATGACCAACTTTAGCACTAAAACTGCCCAGAAGAGATGTGACATGAATCAAACTAACTGCGTGTCCTGCGAACGCAGGGCCCAAGGAAGCTGCTCTTCACAACGATTATAACCGGAGAGAACCGACCCACTCACATTCTCAAAGTATAAGTGAGGCTGTTTTATCTTTATTCCCTTTTTTAATTACACCTTTTACAAGGGAATTAAATCCAGTGAATTTCTTCACCTAATCTTACGCTAGGATCTTACAACCTATTTTTCTAATATTCTTGTATAAAACCAGTAATTATTGTATAGCTTTTTTAACCATCTCTAATAATTAAACTTGCATGTTTCAATTAATAGTTGACTATTAATTTACTGTTAATTTATAACTAATTTGTTGCCAATGTCCAGTTCCCTCCTTTCATACAACACACTGTGGTCAATCCCATGCCAGCCGTGGAAAAGTCTGAACACCCAGCATGAATCTGAGCAGCCCGTTTTCTTTCTTGGAAGCTTTGTTTCCAGGTTCAGAAGCGCTCACCTGTACTGCGTCTTCATTCCCTCCACGTCCACAGCCAGCAGGACCATCAGGGCGACGAGCCTGGCTTCAGCCCAGTCGGGCATCCAGCAGGTCTCTGCCGCTGCGGGAAGGACAGTCGGGGTTGAGAAGCGTGAGCAACACCCTCACAGAGGCTTCGGACACAGGCGGACGGTGAAAGGAATGGGTCTCACCGATATTAAGTTTTTACAGAAATGCAGCTGTGACGGAACGGCTCACGGCCACACACACTTAAAATGACCACTGGGCTGGGTGTGGCGGCTGAGAAAGAGAGAGACAGGTCAGGGAGCCGAGCTGTCCCCGACAGAGGAGGGACAGGCAGGTCAGCGGCCCCCGGCAGAGAGTGGGCCCCACTGCAGGGAGCGGAAGGGTGTCCGAGAGCTGGGGCCGGGGGGCGGGAATGACCAAGATGAGGCCACGGAGACAGGTGGAATGACAAGGGGCTCTGTGGGCTTTGGAAGGGATGTCTGTCTTCACCCTACGGGCAAGAGGAAGACGCAAGGGCGCCGGGAGTGGGCAGGCACACCGTGCTCTCCTGCACGTCACAGGTGGCAAGGCTTTTACAAACTGCAGGCCTACGTAGGTGAGTCTGCCGGCGCCATTTTCCAACAGCACCTGCTCCCTGTGTCTCTCTGCCACGTTCTGGTCATTCTTGCAATGTTTCCAACTCTTTTGTCGCGACCTGTGATCGGGGGTCTCTGACATCACTACTGTAACTGGGGGCACAACAACTGCACCCATGGAAGGCGGCAAACTCACTCCCTGAATGCTGTGTGTTCTGACTGCCCCGCTGCTAGCCCCCGTCCCGGGGGCTCCCCGCTCCCTGGGACACATTCTGAAACTGGGCCAACGAATAACCCTGCACGGGCTTCTACGTGCTCAGGTGCAGGGAGGTCACAAGTCTCTCGTGTTAAATCAAAGCGAGAGTTGGCCGAGCTGAGTGAGGAAGGCACGTTGAAGCTGAGATGGGCCACAAGCTACGCCTCTTGGGCCAAATACTTGGCCAAGTTGTACATGGAAAGGAAAAGTTCTTGAAGGTGCCACCCCAGTGAGCACACAAACGGTAAAGCAAAAGAGCCTTATGGCTGACATGGAGAAAGCACTGGTCTGGATGGAAGATCAAGCCCGCCACAGCATTCCCATGAGCCAGAGCCTAACCCGGAGCGAGTCTCAGCTCCTCAGTGCCGCGAGGGCTGAAGAGGGAGGCAGCTGCAGAAGAGGAGTCTGGAGCTGGCCCAGGTAGGCCCCCAGGTTCCAACACAACAAGCAGTCTCTGGACCATCAAAGCACGAGGTGAAGCAGCAAGTGCAGATATGGAAGCTGCAGCGAGTTCTCCAGAAGATCTAGTAAGATAATTAGTGACGGCGGCTGCACTAAACACAACAGAGTTTTGATGCAGATGAAACAACCGTGTATTGAAAGAAGACCCCACCAAGGACCTTCACAGCTGGAGAGGAGAAGTCGGTGCCTGGCCTCAGAGCTTCGGAGGACAGGCTGGCTCCCTCATGAGGGGCTCATGCAGCTGTGACTCTACGTTGAAAGCGGTGCTCACTTAGCACTCGGGAAATCCTAGGGCCCTTAGGAACTATGCTAGAGCTGCTCTGCCCATGTCTACACACGGAGCAGCAAAGCCTGGAAGACAGCACATCTGTTCACAGCACGGTTTACTGGGTATTGTAAGCCCGTTGTTGAGATCAACTGCTCAGAAAAAAAGATCCCTTTCAGAATATCACTGCTCACGGACAACAGCCCAGTTGCCCAAGAGCTCTGATGGGGCAGCTTCACAATGAGGTCAGTGCTGTCTCCATGCCTGGGAACACGGCACCCACGCATCACAGAGTGATTCTAACTTCCAAGTCTTATTATTTAACAAATGCAATGCATGCGGCTGTGCACGGGCCTGGGCAGAGTACACCGGAAACCTTCTGGGCAAGATGCACTATTCCGGATGCCATTACGAATATTTGCGATTCGTGGGAAGGGGTCACAATGTCTGCATTGGCGGGAGTTTGGAAGAAGCAGATTCCACCCCCTACGAATGACCTTGAGGGGTCAAGGCTTCAGTGAAGGAAGTAACTGCGGATGTGACGGGAACGGCAGGAGAGCGGGAATCAGAAGCGGGGCCTGAGGACCGGGCTGATTCGCTACAATCTCATGATGAAACTGTAGTGCATGAGGAGCTGCTTCTTGTGGGTGAGCAAAGAAAGAAGTGTCTTGAGTTGGAATCTACTCCTGGTGAAGATGCTGTGCAAACTGCTGAGGTGGCAACAAAGAACTCAGAATATGACATGAGTTTAGTTGATAAAGCCGCAGCGGCGTTTGAGGACTGACTCCACTTTTGAAAGTAGTTGTACTGTGAGTAAAATACTATCAAACAGCATTGCATGCTATAGAGAAATTGCTCATGAAAAAAAGAGTCAGCCAATGCCTCAAAGGTCATTGTTGTCTTAACAAATTGCCACAGCCACCCGACCTTCAGAAACCAGCACCCTGGTCAGCAGCTCCCAACCTCGGGGCCAGCCCCTACCAGCAAAAAAGAGTACAGCTCACTGAAGGCTCCGGGGACAGTCAGCGTGCTCTAGCAACAAGGTAATTTGTAGACACAATGCTACTGCACGCTTGAAGACGACAGTACGGTGAAACATAACTTCACGTGACTCCCGCTACTGTGGAGGTCTGGGGCTGAACCTCCAGTATCTCTGAGTTCTGCCTCTACACACGGAGGGGAAGAAGACATTTGTAAGATCAAAGTTTACTTATTGCTCTCTGGGCACAACGTGGGAAAAGACTGCAGGGGAAGCGAGAGGAGATGCCAGGTGACCAGCGAAGAGGCGAGTCTGGTTTTTGGCCGAGAGGAGAGAACCCCTGCACTGCACCCAGCAGGGGCACGCACAGACACGTGGGCTCCGGCACCCCAGACCTGTGTGCGAGGCCCGGTCCCGCGCTCGTTAGCTGTGGGGCCTCGCGACAGGCCGTCCACCTCTCGGGGAGTCTACGGCACCTCCTATGAAATCAAACAAGTGAAACCTGCAGCTTGCTTTGGGCTTATTATAAAAATTAAATAACATATGTGAAGTTCCTAGAACAAGCTTTGGGAAAGAGAACTTGGTTGACTGATATAACAGATATTTTACTATCTCAGAAAGCCAGTTAAATAAAGAGCCATGGGTAATTTCTTTTTTCTTTTTGGCATATTACTGTAGTAAAACTATACTCTTCACATCCACTCCCAAGAAAAATTTAGGTAAGAAAACTAGTTTTCTAGCCCAGTGATTCAAATACTTAAAACATCTTTACAATATTTTAACATATTTTAGAAGTAATTTAATATATTTTGATGTGAATTTATTGAACGAGTATGGAAGAGAAACAATACCAAAAAAACATATTTGTATGTAGGTTAACTCAGTTTAAAAATAAAACAAAAAAATAAACTTTATTACATATTATTTTTAAAATGCTATGAAGGCCATTTACTTACCACCAATAAGAAATCTGCTTGTATTTTTTTAATCTAAATACATAATCTAAATACTTTTTGGTGCTAGTCCAAAAAATTTAGTTGGTTAAATTTCTAAGTGTTATAAAGGTGAATCTTTTACTCATATTTTTAGTCTTAGTAATGCTTTATATCCCACACTTACATTAAAAATTCATTCATAAATGAAGAGTAAAATGAAACCAAATGCCATTACACTAATTGAGTTCCCCACATTTTCCAGCAATCATATAATCAAGATACCTTTCGAGTTCACGGGAGGTGGGGGAGGGGCGGGGGCTCTTTGGGGCTCTGGGTGAGAGTGGAATGTTTCCACTCCTCGTGGGCTCGAGCCTCTTCTCCTCCGACCGGCCACGTGGGCTGGGAGCCGCGGGGCGTCACCCTGCATCTGGCAGGGGCAGCACACGGCGGGGGCCTCTCAGTGGCTGACCAGAGAGTTCTCGCCTGCCTCCCACAAGCACCAGAGCAGGCTTCTAGAAACACCAATCTCTTCAGAAAGCCCAGCAGTTTTCAGAAGCTCAGTGGATTCTTACTGACTGTTATCTGAAAATCTCGTTTACCCAATTTTGAGTACTGAATCAGATCTGATGTTGTGATATACTCTGAGTTATAAGACGAGTTCTATTTTAGGGGCTTAATCTATGTTTAGGGCAGTAGGGACTAACACTCCTTTACTGTGATAGGCCTAGTAAAAGAATCTTCTAAGTCATAGCACAGAAAGTTGACTAGACAACAGAGAGAATAAAACATAAAAGAGAAATGTTTGAAGAAGGAAGAACAGGTACTCTCAAGTACTTTGGGGGGATAATTATCTGATCATTTAAGAGCCAGCCCATGATCGGATTAAAGAAGTCAGTAAATGAAAACGAGGTAGTCTGAGACAAACCTAGGAAAGTGAAGACAGGTTAAATTCAGAGACACAGGCCACCCAGATGACTGCGGACGAGGTGGTGAAGAGGAAGCACACGGAACGCACACGGAACCCTAATGATGACCGGCCCTGTGGCCGGCGCCTCCGCCGCCCAGGCTCACTCACATCCCCAAAGAAGCCACCAGACTGACCTGTGCCCACCACCTGGCAAAAAGGAAAACTAACACAACCAGCCCTGCACACACCTTTCTCTAACATTGCTTCTCACAGTCAGGTCACGCTAAACGTGACCCTGTGGCAACGAGGGGAAGAAGAGCTGACAGAGCCACAGGGATTCCTCCTTCAGAGGCCCTCAACGCGCCGCCGCCGCCTCCAGCCGGCAAGAAACCTGGGGACTGCGGAGCAAATTACTAGGCCGGCTTGTGTCCAACTCCTACTCCGGCCACTTACTCGTTTATTAAAGCATACAACACAGATTAAATCTCAAATCGGAGAACAGATAAAGTACAAGTTAGGGAGCGGCATTCTAGTGTCCTGTTATTCACAGTATCTGGCTGAAAGTGTGTGTATGTGAGAAAACTGACACATTTGGTGCAGCCCATACCTGGCTCTGAAAGCTAGTTCACAGTTCTTTGACAACATTGTGGTTAGACTGGTCCAGGGAAACGATTCCAGACTCACCTTCCCAAGCAGGTGGCTTAACGTACTCTTCAACCAGGTTCTTCACAAAAGCATTCAAAGGGCATGTCTCCTGAAGTCCGACGGAGCTGCAGGTCGAGGGTCGCCCAAAACGGCTTTCATTAACACGCAGCCACTCACAGAGCTGGAAAAGACAACAGCTATTACTTTATTTTAAAAACCTACCCCTGGCTGGCGTAGCTCAGTGGATTGAGCGCAGGCTGCGAACCAAAGTGTCGCAGGTTCAATTCCCAGCCAGGGTACATGCCTGTGTTGCAGCCCATGGCCCCCAGCAACCACACATTGATGTTTCTCTCTCTCTCTCTTTCTCTCTCCCTTCCCTCTCCATCTAAAAGATAAATAAATAAATCTTTAAAAAAAAAACCCTCAGCAGACAAAGAATTTCAATTTCCCAAAGCCAAGTTCTCTTCCATAATAAACTGAATTTAAATGACTGAACACAACAACGTAATAAAGCATGCGTCGTCATGAGAGAGTTGAGTAGTGGAGGCAGAAAAAAGTGTGTGTGTGCATTTTCTACCCTCCATTCAAGATTTTATAAACTTCATTCACAGGCAAGAATTTTTAAAATACCTAACATAAAATGCACATCGTGATAGGTATTCTAAAGAACATCTCTGTGCAAAATAACACATTATGTAAAACAAATTATAACCTTAAATTAAAATTAAACACCGAGTGTTGGTGAGCATGTGTTTGCATTCACTGCTGGTGGGGATGCAAACGAGCACAGCCACCTTAGAAGGGAGTTTGGTGTCTCTCGAAAAACTGTAAACGTTCTCTGACCATGCAATCCAGCAACTGTGCTCCTTGGCATGTACGCAAATGAGTTGAAAAGTTATGTCCACACAATAACCTTCACATGAACGTTTATAGCAGCTTTTCTCACAATTGCCAGAACTGAGAAGCAACCAAGACATGCTTCCGTGGGTGAATGGGTAAATAAACTGTGGTACATCGGAAAATGGAGTATTATTCAGTGATAAAAAGAAACAAACTATTCAGCCATGGAAAGACGTGGAAGAACCTTAAGGTGCATCAGAGGAAGAAGCAGATCTGAAAAGGCTTCACAATGTATGGTTGCAACTATGTGACAGTCTGGAAAACACAAAACCACAGAGGCCGAAGGGGGCGGGGCGGAGAGAGGGAAGACCAGGCTGAGCGGAGGGATTCCCGGCCGTGAAACTATCCAGGATGGCATTGTAACCGTGGGTAGGTACAGTTACCCATTTGCAGAGCCCACAGAAGTCACAACACAGGGTGAACCCTAATGTAAACTGTGGACATGGGTTAATAGTAAGGTTTCTATTATAACAAATGTAAGCAAAGCAAGAAGCAAGAAAGATATAAATGAAATAGATAACTGAAAAATTAAGTGGAACACATAAAGAAATCTAAAGGTCGGCCTCTTAAAAGCAAGCGATTAAAGGTCTGGCTCATCAAACCAAAGGAACAGACAACGGCTGTGGGGTTTACGCTTCTATGGGCTACGCACAGTCGGAAATGTTACAATGTGTTTCCTCATTCAAACCTGACCGCTCATTCCACATACCAAATCAACTCCAGAGGGTTCGCCACAACTTACAAACCAATGCCACAAACAGAACTCATTTGGATACTTAAACGAAGTTGAGTGTTTGAACAAAATGCAAGAAACAAACAGAAAAATACATTTACTGAACATCTGGAAAAGGGTAATTGAATTGGATATTTGAAATCAAGAAATTGTTAACATTTTCAGTTTAGTAAAAAGGGCCTATCTTGTGCCCTTTTAAAGTCCTTATTTTTTAGCAGTACATAGTGAAATATTTATAGATGAAATAAATTTTGAAATAAAAGTCTAGCAGAAGGAACTGATTAAATAAATTCCAAAACATTTAATCAACCGAACTTTTAAAGATCACATATGGGAGAATTAATTAGCAACATGTTAAAATGCTCATATATGTAAAGATGAAAAACAAAATTCAAAACAGTAATTTTAATTTTGCTTAGAAATATATATATTAAAATGTCATTTTAAATATACAAATATAGTAAGAAAGCAAGAGTGAAAATATGTATGTATTCAAAAAATTAAGAAAGCAAAAAATGTGTGGGCATTATAGGTGACTATTTTCTTTCATCGTTCTGTATTTTTCAGGTTCCACATAATTACATGCATCGTGACCAATAATAGAAGATGAAATTCTAATTTTTTTTAAAGATTTTATTTATTTTTAGAGGGGAAAGGGAGGGAGAAAGAGAGAGAAACATCAATGAGTGGTTGCTAGGGGCCATGGCCTGCAACAGGCATGTGCCCTGACTGGGAATCAAACCTGCGATGCTTTGGTTCACAGCCCGAGCTCAATCCACTGAGCTATGCCAGCCAGGGTGAAATTCTAATTCTTTAAGGGTCCCATTTGCCTCTCTTCATTTCTTCTGCCACTACCCTATTCTACACTCTCCTTATTTTACGCCAGAATTATTTTAACACAGGCCAAGCTGATTTCTCTTGCTTCTCTCCAGGCAGACAGAGCCAGCACTAGCTTCTGAAAGAGGTCATCACATCCCCAGCCTCAAGCACTGGAGAAGCACAAAATCAAAAAATAAAGGGTCCTGAACGGAAAAACACGTGACCTACAGGGAGCACAGACTGGAATGTGACCAAGCACACAACGAGTGAGAGCTGAAATCAGTAGCACGACTCAAAACAAAGAGGAGAAAGGGGGCACTGCAGAGCTAACCGAGGTGAGACCCTCACTGACTGCAAGGCCCTGACGCATTGTGGGGGGATGGGGTGTCGGAGCCAAGGGCAGAGTCAGGGATGGACAAGACAGAAGCCATCACAGCGGGAACGCCGGAGGTCTCCACCTGGGCAGTGGCTGCAGGAAAGGAAAGACATGCAGGGTCTCGAGGTGAACGAGAAGCATAAAGTCAGAAGAACGACGAAGCACCGAGATGTCAGGCTCGGCGGGAAGTGGGCAGATGGAAGTGCTACGGGCTGACGGAAGAGAGAAAAGGGGGCGGAGTCACTCACGGCTCTCTCGTCTGCCAACATCACTGCTCCTCACACCTCTCACCCCCCGACCCAGCTCTGCCCTCCCGCACCCCTCCCCCTCCCGCCGGTCTGCCTCCCTCCCAGCCTGCCTGTCCACGCCCCGCCCCACCCCCACCCCCGCCGCCCCGGCCATGACCTCTCAGCTCATCATCAGTTCAGTTCAAAGCAAATGTACCATTTTTTTAAATCTCTGTGGATAGATAACAAAGCAATTGTTCTATTTTGTGTAAATGGCTGGTGATGAATTCAATTAGAAAACAATTTTTATAAAGATTTCAAAGACCTTTTCATCAAATTATTTTCAACCTCACCTCTGTCCACAGTGACGTTCCTCGCCCTAAGGACTCCTCTTGTCTCAGCGACAGGAGAAAAGCTGAGACGTCGGAAAGTGACACTTTTTCCTGGGGTGGAGGAGGGAGCTTTTTAAAAATTACTCATTTTAAATAACTTTCTAGTAAACTATTTAAAGTATCATTTAGTGCAATCTAAAGAAAGCTACTTTTTAAAAACAAAATATAGTTTAACTTTTAAAATGAAAATATTGATTACAAACAACACATTATATAAAAAAGATTATTTTATAAATCTGTTTTCCTTAAAATCAAGGTTACCAGGATGGTCACAATCTAAAAGCAAAAACAAGACATTCTATAAGAAATTGCTCATTACTTAGGTCAAAAGCGATTCCCACTTTTCAAAGCTACGGAAGTGACCCTGTGCCTTAGGGGAGCCAGCTAGGCCTTCGGTTCCCTCGCGGCTGTCAGCCCGGAGTTAGCACCACAGGCCTGCTATTGTGTGGATTTCGTTTGCCCGCCCACTCCTCCGAGGGGAGGGTCTCAAGGGAAGGAGGCGCACTCACCACGTCGAGCACGCTCATGGCTGTCTGGAGCAGGTAGCCCTGCGCCGCGCCCCGCAGCAGGATCTGGTGCGTGGCCATGGTGCACTGCAGCACGTCCCTGGGGGCAGACAGCGCACGTTCCCGCAGCCGGTTCTGGCGGTGGGAGTCCCTGGCAAGCTGTGTGTAACTTCTACCTGACTACCGCGGGGAGTCGCTGCCCGGAGGACTGCAAAGCCTGTGTTTCCCACTAAGGGCTCCCGTAAAGCTCCATTTTAATATGAGACAAATCTTTTTTAAGACTACTGAGGCTATAAATGAAGATAATTTTACATTTTTAAAAATATTTAGTAATCAATACTTCGGTTTGATATTTCATCTGTTGCTTCCTACATATCGATGTATTTTAAAAAACTTACTGTCTTATTTTAAAGGGGTCAAAGGGCAACAGCATGTACTATGGCATGTACATGAATTAGGGATTCATGGAACAGAGTAAGCTCAACTGTATGAATAGATTTTATAATTTACTTTTTTTCTTATAAAGTTAAAATGCCAACGTTAACTAAAACCATTCAGTACGGAAAACCACAGGGGAGAACAAAGCCGGGTGACGGAAAGTCACGCCTAAAACCCATAAGCAGGCTCGGTTACCTGAGAGCGAGAAGCCCTTCCAGGCCCAGGGCTCTGCACCTGGGGACGCCGGCCAGAGCCCTGGACAGAAACAAGATGGGGACAGCACACCAGTGTCTACTGGTCATCTTCTGAATAAACTTCAACAAAAAACTACCTGAAAGGAAAAGTTTTAAAATGTCATCGCCGCCCCACAGGACAACAGGCCCCCCCCATCAGTAGACATTCGGGAAATTCAAATCAACAGCTGTGACGAGATGGACCCCACGCCCACTGAGACAGCGGCCGTCAAACCGACCGGCGACCGCCAGGGCCGGCCGGGAGGCGGGGACACTGCTGCGGGGAGCGCGGCACGCGCGGCCGGCTTGCGTGCCGAGCAGTCTGCTGGCTCCTCTGACGTGCCCCCAGGCGTGCACTCGAGAGAGTGGGAAGCATGCGTTCGCTCGAGAACACGCATGTGAATGTCCGCAGCAGCGGTGTTCACAGTGCTGAAAGGGGGGACAGCCCCAATGTCTGCCAGCCGATGCGTGCATCAGCGAGCGATTCCCACGCAAGGGGGTCTTGTGCGGCCACGAAAAGGAATGGAATATATTGACGGATGCTTATAGCAGACATAAATCTTAAGGACCATAAGCTAAGTGAAAGGAGCCAGACTCAAATCAAAAGGCTCCTCACTGCACGGGCCCACTGACCCACACCGCGCAGGCAAATCCGCAGAGACCGGGAGTAAGCAGGCCCGACAGGGGCCAGAGCGGGGCGGGGGGACGACGAGAAGCGGCTGCTGGCCCTGGAGCTTCTCAGGGGCTGATTGGAATACTCCGGGATCTGTGAATGAACCAAAAGCGGTCCACACTGTAGAAGGGTAGACTGCAGGGTATGTGTATTATATCTCAATAAAGCTATTGGAAAATGAGCCATGTTATTTAATTGTATTCCTATTTAGCAAGACAAGTACATATGCTACTCTGTTGTGGAGAGTCTAATAACCATGAAGCTATATATTTTTAAGGAGGTAAAAGATTAATTTTTTATTGTTAGAGGCTATTCTTCTGTAGAGGCTATTAAAGAAAAACAAGGTAAGAAATATTGATGGTAACTTGGCTGCTGGTACCTGCAAATAATGATACTAAATTTTCCTCTCAGGGGATTTCTAACCTACCCTGGATCTAATCATTGTAATTTACTTTTCCATTTTCCACGTTTTACTGTTCCAGTTTAAAACAAAGGGATGATGCTCCATCCTGCCTTCCGTGCTAATGTGTGACCTCTAAGGGCCCTCAAGTCATGCAGTTAGTGAAATGGCTGTTCCCTCAGATCATCACTGTGGAGCGACTTTTAAGGAATCCCTGGAAGCCCCTGAAAGGGTGTCGCATGTATTTCATATCCTCCAAAGCACCTAGCACAAAACCAGATGCACTTAAGACAGTCACCAGAAATCACTGACTGAAAAAACTACTAAGTGAAAACTAAGTGAACATTTGATTTTACCTGCCTCTCTTCTGCTGGACTAATGAAGTTCCCACTTTTCACCAAACACCTCACTCATGACACAGGAAGATGGCAATGGGCAGGCTACCTCTTCAAATTCGTTCAACACGTTTACAAGTGCCTACTACGTGCAATAGCCAGGCTGCCACTTCAAATTCATTCAACATGTTTATAAGTGCCTACTATGTGCCCGGCACTGGCCACAAACACACATCAGGCACGCAATCCTAGGGGACCCTGGCAGCCACATGGCACTACTGCCGGGCAGACATTTGGGTTGTGGAAATCCCGCTGTGAACACTCACATACCTGTCCTTGTATGAACGAGGCTTTCAGTTCTGGAATGCACACCTGGGACATGAGGCCTTACAAAAGCAGGCATGGTTTTCTTTCTATCCTCCTGCATCAGTATCTACAAAGGGACAACTGCCCCACAACGAATATTCTGTCTACAACTTTTTCCTCACCCCGAGTTCTTCCTTCCTTCCCCTGGTTTTCCTGATGTCAGGAGGCCAACAGAAACCACCAGGGAGACGGCGCACTGCAGCGCACACTCTAAAACTCCTTCCGCGCACTCACGCCAACACGAGGGATGAGCCACGAAGGAACGTGTGCTCAGTGACAGTGCACGTGCGTGTGAGCCTGGTGGTTTGCACATCCCGGGAAGGAAACTGCTTTGGCAGTACCGAGTGTGAGGGCCAAGGGTGGGGCTTATCACCAATATACTGAAACACAGTTTTCAAACCGATCAGTTTTTTTTAGAAATCTTTGCTGCACATACTCTTTAGTTCTTCTGGAAGAAGAGACACGTAAGTGACTAGAAACCTCTGTAATTTCAATCCCAGTGGAGAGCCACTTCCCATCAGCTGGCCCGGCGACCTGGAGACGAAGGGGGAGAAGAGGAGCATTCAAAATCCCCTCACAGATCAGCATACCCGAACTAGACGGACCGCGGCCCCAAAGTCTTGCAACATTGAAACAGTAAGACCAGCTGCTCTTTCTGAACCTGCTTTTTATTTCTCGAATATTAGTGAAATACTCGGGATCCTTCTGATTCCACACACACCAGACCTTCCAGGAAAACGGAAATGAGTCGATAACGTGCCAAGTGGCATGGATTTCCTTTTTAGAACACTTCCCCTGACACAAGTACGTGACTCTTGCCAAGGAGAATCATTTTTTTAAAAGGCTAAAAATGATCATTTAAAATTACATTTTATTATGTCCTACATATAATCCAATGCTTTTAAACCTCTAGATATTAAATAAAAGAAAAACATTCACAGAAAGACACATTAGTAATCAGTTACTTTTGTAAGAGCATTTCATTAACATCTACTAGAGTCATTTTTTGGTTCTTCCAGAAACATTATCTATTCATTGAACACATCAGCGTGCTAGAAAACGGAGGGCGTTCCATGACAGATGTGTCTGACGACTCCCTCAGAGAGAGCCGAGTGGGTTTCACTGCTCCCCAGCGGTCTAAGATGCTTCCGAAACCTATTCAGCAGCAATGCGTTATTTCAACACTAAAAGCAATTGGCAAGCAAAGCATTGCTACACTCCTTCAATATTTATCTAAGGAGACTAAATACTGATATAACTTAGCACAGACAACTTTAAACCTTTTGAAGAAACTGAAGGTGGGAGGTGTTTTCCTGTTTAGAGGTACACCCATCAGAAGACTTGCAAGGATAAACTTGGTCAACGTCAGAGAGACAACCTAATTTCAGAAGCAAAGGAAATGTTTACAGTGATAGTTCAAGAGGAGAGATGACGCCCAAACACTGGGAAGGCACAACACTGACAGACCCCCCCACCCCACTGCATCAGCCTTTCCAAAGGACGAAGGCAGCAAACCCAGGACCTGTGATGGGCGGTGGCTGCCACCGTCGGGCAGGGAAGGGGGAAGTCAGGGCGAACCCCGTGTGCGTGGTGCCGGACAGAACTGGGTGTGTGGGTGTGGACCGCGGTTTCCAGTTCAGGCGGATGGAGGCGCGGACAGACACCGGAAAGGCGTGGATCGAGTCCGCTCGGCAGACAGCTCGGAAACAGGAGCGCCCCCCAGGGAGAGATGGGGCAGCGACTGAGCAGACGTGGCAAAACATCAACACGTGGGGAATGGGGTGAGAGGCAAGTGGGGATTCTTTGCACGATTCTCACAACTTTTCCGGAAGTCACAATAAAAAGTTAAAAGAAAAAGGGAAAAAACGTTTAAAGGCTGTTTAGCCCAAGTCACTACAAGTTCCAAGAGGGCAAAGGGAGGGGGGAGAAAGGAAGCTATGGAAGACGTACGCTCCAAAGCCCCAGGAACGGAGGGCTCAGGTAGCAAAGGAGAAAAATAAAGAAACACTCATTATGAGAAAGGCAAGAAGATTAACAAACACGGAAGAGAAGACACGATAAGAAAAAGTTGGATGTCTACTATGTAACATACATTATGACCAAATGCATCAAACAACCTGGTCATTTATTATAAACATGGTAAATTTATGTGTCAAATAAATATGACCGCATTGCTACTAAGTAACATCACGTTTGTTTACCTGCTGTATAGAGAGCTCTCTGAAAGTGCATCCATCAACGGTCCGATAATAAACTAAAAGAAAAAAGGTATTTGAAGTTGAGTCGTCATCGTAATTTTGAAGCCCACGTGCCTTAACTGCACCTCCTACCGCAGGGCTGCGGACCAGCTGGGACTGGCATAGCTGACCTCTTATCACACCGCAGGTCAATTCACCATGGATGGTCTGCGAGGGTCGTCCCTTAGTTTCACCAGAACAACAAACAAGTACAGAATTTCCTCACTGATAAAAATGTATTAAAACAGAGAGTTTGTGCTGGATCAAGAAGGAAGAAGAAACATGTAGTAGCAAAGAAAAATCGAAAAGATACCCAAGAGAAAACATGAGCCCCTGTGCCTGGAAGACAGAGGCGGGGGAATTACATCTTCAAAAACACTCCTAGATGTTGGTCAAAGCAGCGAGCTCGCAGGGAGAGCAGGAAGCTCGAGGAACGGGGGAAACAGGGCGCATGTAACACGGTGGCACACTTGGGGGAACTGGGAAGAGATCAGGGACACGGCACTGTCCCCGACCAACGAGCATTACTGTGCACCAGATGAGTGTGCGAGGTTTTAAAGGCAGTGACGGTGGATAATAAATTGTTCTTCTTATACTATAAACCGAGCCACTAGGGCCCGTTGTCAGACAGCTGGGGAAGTGTACTCGGCTCACCTCGAAACCAGAGGTGAGTCCCGGGTGGTCACGTGACGCACACGGCACGTAAGACTTAAAATCACAGCTGTGACCCTCACAGTCGCATTGCTCTGTGTGATTTCTGACAAAGAGCAGTACAGATGCTAGTAAAAGATACACCACTATTTCACACGTATAACAAACATAGCTCAAAAGGCGATCTCTGCTTCGTGTAGTAGACAGACAGTGTTAACTCACTGGCCCAAACTGGGGACACAGATCACTGCCGAGCCCCTCCTACCCCGGTGTGCACCCTCTGCCTCACGGCGTTTATCACCCTGACACCAGAGAACCACTTTCACAGTAGAAATGCTGCAGGCAGCCTGTCCGAGCTTTTTCCACAATGACAGCTAAGCTTCGAGAACGAGGGCTGGTGTTTGCTTATCTACGAAATGTTGTTTGCTGTCATCGAGGCCTAGGGTGTTGTTCGACGACCATGTAAACGCAACGCCACGCCTTCGCCCCCCTTCTCTGGACATGGGGAGCAAGGGGAGGACACACTGTCGTTACCTCGGAAACGTCTGGTGAAAACGGGAGCGCCTTTGTTTCATAGAGCTCCAAGAAGTGGATCACGCCTTCCTTGGTCAGGATTTTGTTCTCACTCTCAAACATCCGTTTGTAAATGCACAAGTGCCAGGAGGGGTGCAGGAGCCACCGGCCCTCGGGGAAGGTCTCGGGCTGACACAGGAGCCCCGCATCCGGTTTCTCCGGGTGGACTGTGTGGTCATAAACAAACACACACACACACAGCACGTTAGCGTCGCCGCAACACCACCCAGTGGGTCTGCGTGCAGCCGCATCCGAGGGCGCTTCATAACTGGGTCATAACCACAACGCCGCATCGGCCAGCGTTCCAGCTTCGGGCAGCTTCACTTAGAGAGACGGCAGGAGACGTCAGCGCTGCCGCGTGCACAGAAATTAGATACAGCCCCTGCACACAGGTCGGAACTTTACATGTGGGGTGACTCCAACCAATTCTTCTCCCCCCGCCTGACTCCATCCAATTTTCATTTAGAAATCTGAAACCGGCACTCCAGTGCTTGAAACCCATGAGCGGCTTCTCACAGCTCGCAGAACGAAGTCTGAACAAAGGACCAGCTGAGGGGCACAACGGCGCCGCCCTCCGGCCCCACGCCCACCACCCCGCGCACAGGGCCCTGCGGCCTCCCCGCACTGAGCGGTCCGGTCCGGGGCATCTGCACACAGTGTGCGCCCTGCGCTGGCGCTTCCCCGCCGCTCCTAAGGCGGCCTTCCCCGCTGGCCTCTCCCAGGGGCGGCCCCACTCACTGCACCCTCCCCCGCCGCCCCTGGTTTGCTGCTTGCATAGAACTTATCATCAGAATAATCTTTTCATGGAAAACACAAAGTCAAGTGAAAAATAGGGCACCTGACTCACCACTTTATCCTAGTGCTAAGTATCTATTAAGTAAATATCTAATTGAGTGGGGGCGGGGGGATGGGATAAATATGCAACTCAGAGATACTGCTAACTCTTTAGACACATATTTTAATTTTATTAGAAAAAATTCAGCATTTTTAATTCATGGCATTCTATAAATAAATTGCCCCATTATTTGTAATTTACACCAAGATACTTGTTCAGCGCTTTGACAATGATAATTTTTCAAAACCTGTCACTGCTATTTGATTGCGTTTGCCAAGGGCTGTGGGCAAAATGTGGTAATAAGAGAATCATTTTAATAGTAAATGCCTAAGTGAAGTTGCAACAGGATTCAATTAAAATCTAGCCCCAGGTGGGAAAATACGGTCTGTGAAAAATCCCAGTGTCTCAGGAAGCCACCACAGCAATCAGCTGAACAAAGCTCAAGTCCTAAGGGGTTAAACTATCACGAGTGCAATTTCCTAGACTAGGCGCTAAACCCTCCACACAGGTTAATTCTCGTGTAAACACAGTACGGCAGGATTTTATCGTTCATATGAATATAAAACACTGTTAGCTGGCATTTAGCTGTTTCAGCAATCTAAACCTAATTCCCTAAGATAATTTTAGGAGGCTCCAGCTTCGTTTTATTTAGCCTAGAAAGCTCTAATAGTACAGTACTGCTTAAGGGCTTAAAACCACGTTTAAAACTGTATGTTGCGATTTCCTCTTCCAAAGAAGTCCAACATATAGAACTGAAACCCCCAAAAAGTAACTCTAACAATGAAACAGATATATTAAGAAAATAAGAATGGAAAGTGGTTAAAATATGCAATACCAAAGAGCTACTATTAAAAATGCAGACTATACCGCCATTAAAACATTACCAAAGAGTCCTTATCTTTCAAGAATGTACCCTGACGTAACCACAGAATAAGTGACATTGCTGTCCTGGGACGTGCTTCTGGAAATGTGGTGGGAGGGGCCAGGAGAGGCTACTCCCCCTGGTGGGGGGGGCCAGGAGAGGGTGACCCCTCTAGGAGAGGCCAGGAGAGACACAGGCTGGCCCCAGCCGGCCCGGCTGAAACTAGGTGATGGGGTTCATCTTCTCCTTCTGCGTATGTTTGAAATTTTCCGTAATCAAAACTTTAGAAAACTGCCCATACCTCTAAATCAGAAAACTCCGCGGCCCTTTCAAGTCGCATTCTCGAGGCTACCTACGGGACATATGCAAATGTATTTGGATAGACTGCTAATCGCCAACAAAGTGTTACAATCAGTGCAGAAGGTATGTGCTGGAATGTTAATAGCAGGCTCTTATTTCTTTACACTTTCATGGTTTCTCCCAATTCTCTATAACGAGTAAGAGTTAGTAATAAGATCGGGGGGAAAAAACTACAGATGTTATTTTAAAAAGTCAAACTAAAAGTAACCATTACCGTTTTCCTCTGACACTGAATATTCAAACAGATTGTTTAGCTTTGGTAAAACGGGCTTTATAACATGTATCTGAAAACAAAAGCAAAACGACATATGAAATGAAGGATCATCTTTAAAAACTCAAGGGAATTTTCAACTATTGATACAAGCGCAGACCTTCCGACTCCCACCCCCATGTGAAAAATAGGCAGAAGGTGCCCGACTCTTCCAGCTTTTAAGTGATACAAATTCAAGTATGCAAGAGTGGGATAAAGCCGATGACTGCAACCTGGAAAACAGTGACGGCAATGTTACATCCACACAGTGACTAGCACACAGTGTGTCAAGAAACCCTCCACCGTCCTGGGAAACAGGGCTGACGACACCAGTGTATTACAAAGAGGAGAAGATGCTGAAATGCATTCTCTCCGTCACTCAGGTTGCTCAAAGGCACACATTTAGAAGCAGAGCCCCTTAGGGTTCAATGTCCTTCACACTGAGACTATGTTGCAGGGACAAGTCTAATTTATATATCCTTCCAAATACAGGTGAGTCAGAGTTTCCAAACGAACAGTGGAGGTCTCATGGATCTACTGACTAAGGACTTTGGAAATGCTTTTTCTTTACTCCTCATCTCTACAATTATACACACACACAAATACACATACACATCTATATATATTTTAGCATACGTCAGTAATTATTTCGGTCTGCACTCAACGCATATCTGAACGGACACCTCCGTGACTCCCCAGCTGGCTGGCCCCCTAGTGGTCTGCAGCTTATAGGCCGGGGACTCCTAGACCAGGGTTCCCCAGCACGGTCGCCAGGGCAACAGCGTAGGCATCCCTGGGGAGCGTATAAAACACTCCAGGGCATGGGTACCACCTCAGACCCCCCGAACCAGGCACTCTGGGAATGGGACCCAGGCACTTATACTTTAACGAGCCACCTGGGTGACTCGAATGAATGTTCAAGTTTGAGAATCACTGCAGTAGATGAAGTCCCTTAGGAGACTCCTCTCAACTCAAAAATTCCATGACTCCACAAAAACCCATTCAAAGTCAACTGAAAATGATTGTTCAAGCTTCCATTCTCAGGCCTAGGTTTGCACAGATCTAACGACGTCAAAAGAGAAAAGAAAACCTACAAAATTAAAGAGCAAATGTTTACTTAATAACAATTTACCTCAGCAGCGCTTTAAGTAAAATTTTCCTAAGTGTGTATTTCTCTGGAGATTACTCATAATGTGGAGAAACTAACCCTTCAGGAGCAAATGTCAAGAGAGGATCAAATAAGACTAAATTCTATGAATGAAAATTTCAGTCAATTAAAAGTAACCTTTCACTTCCTGGGCTTACACTCGATCTTAAATTTGCATTTATGCCGATTTAGTTCACTTGTGTTCTTTTGTGCTAGACCCAAGCTGGTCTTTCCGCGCTGCTTTCACAGAACGTTTCAGAGAATAAAAGCCGGCTGCACGTAGGACTTGTTAAAATAGGAAGCCACTTACCTGGTTTCCTTCTAGAGTTTCCAGAATTAAAATATAGTTTTCCCAAAACTTCAGAAGCTCGTCTTTTCTCTTCTCAGACCACCAAAACAGACTTGGGCCTGTTACAATTTTAAAAAGAAAATTACTTGGCAAACTTCCTAAGTTTCTCACCAATAGTAGTTCTTAAAGTTGGGCCACTATCACCAAATGCTGCCCCCTCTAAGGAGGAGAGGCCACGGGTCAAAGCCTTGACCGGAGGCTTGGGTGAACAAGAATCTTGAAAGGAGACTTTTTAAATACACACACATATATATAAAGATAACTGTTTTAGAGTTCTGGGTAAGAACGAGACTAACACAAACTCTACTTTTTCTCCCTAAGAACCTCTCTGTATCAGTAAAGGGTTTCTCAATGGCAAAAGCCCAGGAGAATAGAGAAAACCAAGCAGGCTCATGAAAATTAAGTATTAAGTCGGCACAAGGAAAGCCAAGAAGATTTTGGTTTCTAAGATCACCCGAGACCTAAGGAGCTGACACAACAGTTGCTTCTGTAAGTGGAGTTGAAAGCAAAGCTAAACGGAAGAGGATTTCGCTCCGTGTGTCTAAGAAACAGTCTAGGTGCCAGGGCTCTTTCCTGCACTTTTTTCCCTGAACCGGAAAGAGACTGGAATCTAGTCTCTGGAGAAGGTAACATAGTGGCTCTGAATTGGGATGCGCGGGACACGCTGAGGTCAGGGTGAGTGCCCTAGGAAAACCGGGATCAGGTGGACGGGTGCGTACCCTGGGTGCCAAGACCCCCTCCCACCCGCCCCAGCACCATCGCAGCCACGCAGGTCCCAGACAGCAGTCTGTCTGCCCAGGTGGACACTGCCCAGCGGGAGACTGGGAGGCCTGCAGGGAGTCTGGCCAGCCCCGGAGGGAAGGCCTGAAAACTCCAACATCGGAGAGCACCTGACAGTGCACTCACAAGCTTCGAGCCAGAGATTTGATATGTACGATTCCTGATTCGTACATACCAACAGGCATCTAAGGGTCACCGGGCCACCTGGGGAAACCCCGATGTTAAAGATCCATAAGAAAACAAACAGACAAAAGGAAATTTGGAGGAAACAAAACTATGCAGGAAAAAGAAAACAACTCTCAACTAACAAAAACAACTTTCACTAACATCTTAATATCTATCTAGATATCTAGATAGACATATCTATCTAGATATCTAGATATCTAGATATCTATAGATATCTAGATAGATATCTAGATAGATATCTATATAGATATATATATAGAGAGAGAGAGTCTATGACATCCCAAACCTCTCATATATATATATATATATATATATATATATATATATATGAAAGAAAACCTGCTTTTTGATGACCAGTCCAGCAGACTGAAAGTAAACAGCACAGAAAGTCTAACAGCACAGAAAGTAAAAAGGGAGGAAAATCAAGACAACTCAAGAAAAATTCCCCCAAGTGAAGAACCCGATTTCCCAGGAGGGCAGGTCCAGCAAGTGCCCCGCACAGGGACGCAGCGCGCTGGGGACACACACCCTCCCAGCCACCATGGGGGAGAAACAGATCACATGTCAATAAACACGATTCAGAGTGGTTTCAGGCTCTGCAACAGCAACCATGAATGTCCTGTTTTCTGAGACAACAGATCAATGCTTTTAACATGTTGGGTGAAAATGTTTTCCAAGCCGGAATCCTACCCCCAATCAAACCAGCAATCAAACGTGAGGTCACAATAGAAGCACTGAGGCTGCTTGGTCTCGGCTTCTGCCAAGGATGCAGACAAGCCCCCGAGAACATTGCTGCCATTCTGACAAAGAGAAAAAGCCGGAGAGTCTATGACATCCCAAACCTCTGAGAGCTCTAGTCACACGGCAATTCCGAAGAACAGAAAGCTTCTCCAAGAACAGACAGGACACACAAGCTGTCCCACCTTTAGCTGAACCCAAGAGGAAGAGGTGGACACCAAAATAGCAGTTTCAAAATGAAATTTTGACAAGTTTTTAAAGGCCAGGTGTGGACTAGCGTGAGAGCTAGAAGCCTGAGAATCCCCGGGGAGTCCAGACCACGCACCAGCTCTTCCCCTCACACCTCCCCAGGTGCTCCTGGGACAGACTGTGGGCAGCTGCAGGCACCCCAGGGAACATGCACTGCACTGCAACAAGCCAGCAAACCAAAAAAGAAGCAGCCAGAAACTCCAGGACACGGCGCCAACCCCAGGCTCGGGTGAAGGCAACAATCCTCAGGATGATGGTGAAGGCACATCTAAGAGGACTCCAGGAGAGCATTCAGGGAACTTGACCAGAAGCCTGATGATCTGATTTCCCACAGGAAAGATGTAGCCAACTAGCAAAGACTCTGGGGCTGACGAGGTGGAGGTGGTAAGAGATAAGGAGAGAATAAACAAATTTGAAAAGGACATAATTCTAGGAAAATCTTTCAGGTAGGAGAACAGCGTAGTGTATAATACATACATCGACCGCCTGTGAATAGTATTTTCATAACCACAGTGCTGTAAATGCTGACCTCCCATTCGATGGAAATTATTAACTATGACAATGGATTTTATGATATAAGTACCTTATTTCAAGACATAGGGGCCAATGCCAAAATAATCAGCTGAAGAGGTGAAGGTGGTTTTGCCCTGACGTGGACAGCAAGTACGGAAAGGCTACAGCTTATGTTTTAACATTGCAGAACGGCTGGCTCTTTAAAGGAGTATTTAACTTCGGTGATCCTGACAGTGTTTTCCAATGAAGACGCTCCTGGGATGAATGGTCACCAATCTGTGCACTGTTAAAAAATTTACTCTCCAATGTTTTAAACTTTTGTGGAAATTTAATCTGCTCACGACCTCCGCCGGACAAAAATCTTTTACCAGCAATAAACGAATAGGTAGCCACAGCTGAAAAAAGAGGAACTGGCTATGAGACAATTTTTGAATCAATCTATTTAGGACTTTGACAGCTCAAAACTGGACTGAAGACAATGCAAGTATATTTTCACACATTGCAGTGAGCCAGCCAATTGAGATTAACATGCCAAGTAAAAAGGAGGCCTTGCTATTTCATCTACTCTTGTTCTGTAATACGTGTAGGGAACACAGCTCAGAATGCTTTAAAAATTACTTAAAATCTGACTCATTCTATTGAATCAATGGCAAAAATACCTTCAGTAGGTTGACTTAGGACTGCATATCTAACAAATACTAGTAATCCTGCTCCTAAATTACCAAGTGAAATTTCAAAGTAAAGTGATGGTTTCTAGGACAGCATTCCAACACTCCGGACTCAGTTCACATGGTCCGTCCAGATATTTTCCTCCACTCTGCTGGCAGCTAGCCCTTCCTGTCTGTCACAAGGGACCCTCCACGACAGAGTGCACATTTGGTTTTGTGAAATCCTGCGTGGGTCCAATTCCTAAGTCATTCCACGGAGGCAGCATTCCACCTCGCTCTGGGTTGCGGTTGGGAAATGCACTGTCTGGGCTGCAGTGACTTGGGTCACTTCTTAGAACGCCCGCGTACATGAGGGTCCCCAGGTTTTCGGACGCCATGGGGACCACGGGAATAACCAAATTCGCCCTGGATGGAAGAGACGACCTCAAGGGGCTGGTATTCGGACCCAGGCGGCCTCCCTCCCACAAAGTCAAGCAGGGTTGGGCTGCGGTCAGAGAGGCGGATACCGTTTCCTTCCCGGGGTCCAGAGCTGCAGTCCGCGCCGTGCTCAGCCGACACCTCCACCGCCCGCTGCAGCAGGTAGCGCGCGCGCTTGCGCGTCAGCGCGTCCTCGGCGAGCGCCAGCCCCGCCTGCACCGTCTGCCAGAACCGTGCGCAGCATCGCGCGTCCGGGCTTCTCTGGTGCTCGTCGGTCTCCGGGAGCAGCCGTTCGGCCAGGGCGCTCAGCACCTGCAGCCTCGGACCCAAGCGGCCGGGCTCTGACGGCGCCAGCAGCCCGCCCCACACGGCCCGCAGCACCGCCCCGTCGCTCTTGCCGAGAGCCGGCAGCAGCCTCCCGGCCGCCAGCGCCGCCGCCTCCCCATCCCCTGCTAGCGCCAGGGAGAGCGCGGCCTGCGCCACGCGCTCCAGCAGCTGCCCGTCCTCGTGGGGCCGGAGGCAGGGTCCCACGGCCGCCAGCACCTCCACGGCTACCTCGGCGATCCCCTCAAGGCCGGGGGCGGGCCCCGCGGCCAGCAGGTCGCGCAGCGCCTCCTCGGCCAGCGTGGTCGCCAGCTGCGAGCCCCCCGCGAGGCGCGCGCAGGAACGGAGGGCCGCGCCCGCCGCCGTCAACAGGCGCCGGCGGTGCGGGGCCGGCGGGTCGCAGTCCATGGCTCCCGCGGGGCGCGCGCGCAGGCCGCGCATCAGCGGCACCAAGTACCCGGCGGCGACCTCGCGCGCCGCCTCTGGGAGCGCGTCCCCGCCGCCTTGCGCCGCCTCGTCCTCGAGCCTCTGCAGGAGAAAGCGCAGCGTCTCCACGCGCTCGGCGGACGCCTCCCCGCGGCACAGCGTCGCGAGCAGGACCCGCGGGTCTCGGCTCTGCGCGAGCAACGCTTCCGCAAGGACCCACTCCATTTGCCACGCGCGCCGCCGACTCCTGGCGCCCAAAGGAGGCTTGCGCGTGCGCGGCTGGCCCAAGCGAGGGAGTGCGCGTGCGCGGCTGGCCCAGGGACGCGCCCGCAGCGATCCGGCTGCAGCCCAGGCCTGGTCCCGCTCTGCGCAGGGCAGGCTTGGGCCACCTGCCCTGCCAGGAGCCTAGACCTTCTACCCCTTTTTGACTAGTTTTTAATAAAACGTCAATGCAGTGTCTGTACCAGCTCCATCGACTTTTAACTGGAGATTGGCCTGCCCGAGGGCCCTAAATCGTCAGGTGTGCCTGTGAGGCACAGGTACACAAGATTCATCACAATCACTTGGGAGCTTATCTTCAAAAACTTGCAGACTGCTGCCGCCCGCAAAGAAGCTGACACGAAGTCTAGCATGGGTGGCTGACATCTGCATAAAAATAAATAACGAAAGCACAAAAATGACTTAGAGGCTCTGAAAAGCACTATAGCTATGTGCCAGGGGTAGGGCTGAAAACGATGCCCACACCAGCGCTTGAAGTCAAGTGCCCACGGCGATTCTGGCTTGCGGACCTGACTACACACAGTCTCAAAAATAGCCCGCGTGTCAGTGTGTTCTGTATATCTGACAGCACCTACTGCTAAATACAGAGACAGAGAACTACGTTAGCGTGCACGGTCCTGGTGTGGTTCCCGGCTCCGTCCCCGGCAAGCCGCACCCGTGGCTTGGGTTTTCTCGGCTTTTTGTCACGGTAAAGACTCCCCTTCAATCAAAGGAGGGAACACACTCCGGCCTTCAAAGCGCTTGCCATGTAATCCACACAAGAGATAAGGGATAATTTAAAGGTTTCAAATGTGAAATTATTTTATATAATTTAATTTTGGTTTTACATGTTCTTTAAATTTAAACTTAGCTGACATCACACACTTGCAAGTTTTTTTCCCCATATTTCAATCACTCACTTCTCCACGGACTATGCGTAAATGGTTCTATTGTTCTATTCCATTTAGAATGTGTCGGCAACATCAGTCACCTTCAACATACAATGTGCCATAAATACCAGCTTCCCCCAACAGTGGGCTCTTCCTATGTCTGTCAACGAACATAGGCAACGATCCTGAGCACTTAACAAATGGGGGTATGCAAATGTAGCCTCTGAAAGGGCGTTCAGGACCACTGGTCATTGGAGATGTGCAAGTCGAATCTTCAGGGAGACACCACTTCACACTCATTAGAATGGCTACAATTTAAAAGATCGAAAACACCACCTGACAAGGACCAAGGATGTGGAGTGACCATTTACATACGCACCTTACTGGTGAGTGCGTACATGGTCCAATCACTTTGAAAAACTGTTTCTAAAACAGTTAAAATATACCTACTTTATGATCTGGCATTTCCACCCCTAGGTGTTGGCCTAAAATAAATGAAAATATATGCTAACAAAAATGCTCGTACAAGAATGTTCTTGGCAACATTACTCATCACAATCAAGAGCTTGTAACAACCTAATGTCCATCAGTTAAGAATGGATAAACAAAGTGTGATCTAGTCACATAATCATGCTATTCAGCAACAAGAGAGAATGAAGCACTAACCCACGCAGTATGTGCAAATCTCAGAAACACGGTGTTGAACAAGAAAGCCGGGGACACCAAGTTCACTTACTGCATGATTCCATTTATGCAGAAGTAAATAATGCAAGTCACCTATTGGTTAGAAATGAGAGCCGCAATCATCTGTCAGCAGTGCAGAGTGACTGAAACAGGGCACTTTCCGAGGTGATGGAAATCACTTTTTAAAAAAAAATCCTCACCGGAGGATACTTTTATTGATTTTTAGAGAGCGAGGAAGGAACAGGAAGGGAAACATCGATGTGAGACAAACATCGATTGGTTGCCCACCACACGCGCTCTGATGGGGGATTGAACCACAGCCTACGTGTGAGCCCTGACTGGTATCGAACCCGCAACATTTTGATGTACAGGATAACACTCCAACCAACTGAACCACCTGGCCAGGTTGAGATATTTTATCATCATTAGGGCGATGGTTTTATATTTTCCAAACTCCTTCAATTGAGCCCTTAAGATCTATGCATTATGCTATGTGTGCGCTTTATCTCCATTTAACACAATCACATTAAGAAAATAATAGTAAGCTGTTCCATGTAGGTGTTCCCCGTTACCTACAGACTGAAGCCATCCTGTAGAGCGTGCACTGATGGCTCCTGGGGACCTGGTGAGTGCCAGCCAGCCTCCTAACCTAGCAGTCCTTCTTCCTGCCTGGATATTTCCCACACCCGCCTCTTTCCTGATCCTCCAAGGTGGGCACTGGTCTCCTGTTGGAAACCACCCTGCCTGGTTTCAGAAGCTGTGGACCCCCTCTCCCCCATGGCTAAGGCTGAGTGAAAGACCTTGGGACCATAAGCCACTAAGGAGACAAAGCTTATCCTACTGGCTGGGGAGCCACCTCTGCCCACTTTACTTCATCCTGCCTGGCCCCGGGCAGATGACTGGTTGGCCAATGACCAGTAAGATTGCTCAAGGGAGGGACAATCTAAGACAGGCAGAGTCATAATGGGGCCATCAGGGAAGGACTTGGGAGACTATAGAAAAAGCGGGTGGTGGACCCTCACCCCTTGGCTTTGACAAAGGCTGAGTTCTCATTCTGTCTGCAAGAAGTCTCCTAATCTCTTGCCTGCCTTACTTCCCCTGCTTGACTTAAGCCTGAAACAATGACAGAAGGCGGTGCAGCCTGGGCAGGAACGGGCGGTTCCCTAGGGCTATCAGGCCTAAGAGAGAATGCATAAAATCCTGTGAAAACTGCTTTGCTAAAAATGTCCTCAGTTTTTTCTGATAAGGGGCCAAGCACGAAATGAGTTTGTTTCCCGAAGTTTTATAGCCCTTTAGCTAACTGACCCTAAACTCAGAATAAGCCCTTGTAGTTCTTTGAATGTTATCCATTGTTTGATCCTTACTGCCTGACAATGACTGATGAGCTTTACCTGTATTCCTATGCAAATCGAACCCAGTAAAAGCCCATGGGGAACAGGCTCAAGGCGCTTCTCCTCGCAGAGATGAGCCACCCTTCCTCCCCAAGCAGATCATGTCTTGGTAGACTTGTTCTCATCCATGACAGATGGGGGGCTCTGCTAGACAAAGCTCCCCCACAGTCTCCTAATTGTGAAACTGCTCCTTTTTTTGTCCTCCCCTTAGTTGACTCTGTTGAGGATATCTTCTTGAAACCCTGTCTTCCTCTGGTTTCTTGTCAATACCTTCCTCCTGCATTTTTTTTTTCTCCCCAGCTGTTTGTTCTCATTGCTTTGGAGGAAGACCCCACTTCCTTTTCCTGACCAGTTTTTGTTGATGTTTCCAGAGTTATATCTTCAGGATTCTGTTCTTCTCCCTCCATCAATTTCCCCTAAGGGACTTTACTAAAAGTATAGATTCTGCCACCATTTATGTACTAATGACGAAAAAAAAAACCAAAACACCCTACATCACCAGCCCAGATCTCTCTCCTGAGCTCCAGACCCATCTACCCACCTGCCCGCCAGGGCCTCCATCTGAACATCACTCAGGACAGACTGCACCTCGTGATCCTGTTCCCCCATCATCCTCACCCCCCCTCACGGACTTCTTCCTGGGTACCTCCTATTTAGGGGGACAGTCATCATTCACACAGTTGCTCAAGTCAGAAAACCTGGGGGCCAAAAGGCTTCCGACTTTCTTCCTTGTCTCACAGAGGTGCTCCTTAAATCTGTCTGTGCAACTTTCAAAATCTCTTAGCGTCCCCTCCTCTGTGTCCCCCACTGAGACCTTACTTTATTAGACTCTTCTCATGTGTTCAGAAGCTAACAGCAGTAACCTCTGCCTCACTCACTCTGCACTCCGACACACACCTCCTGTCGCCACCAGTGGGATTGTCCTAAAATCGCACCATCAGCAATCCCTGCCCCTCAGGAAAGGTTTGAATTTCTTAGCAGGACATCCAAGATGCTGGTGAGGCGGCCCCCCTGCCACTTCTCCCCACCCGTCCTCCTCATGCCCCTATACACCTGGAGTTTGAAGTCCCTGAAACTCGTGTGTTCTCACTTTGTCTTTCAAATACCTGCTGGGAAGGCCTACAACCTGATTAGTTTGCGGGGGGCGGGGGGTGGTTAAGGGAACATTCAGATATCATCTCTGCAGAAAGTCATTTCTTACTGGCTCACTCCTGCCACCAACCCCTACCCCCACTAAGTTACCCCAAACATCCTATCACCAACACGACATTTGTCACACAGTGTCCTAACTGCAGGTTTACACCTCTGCCCGCCCCCCGCCCCCGAGCCATCTGAGGCCTGGGAAGGGCTCAGGGAGTAGGTCTTTCGTCACCTCAGTGCCTGCACCTGTAGCTGTGTCATGCTCAGAAATGCTCACTGCTCGAATGGCCGTCTCCTACTTCTCGGCAACGACCCGTGTTCCCAGCCTCTCTCAGACGCCTTCCCAGTGCTGCTGACTGCACCAGCTGCTGCTTCAGTGTCCCCTGACTTCAGCTTCAGAAATCGTGGCCGGTACTTATCAGACTCATTATACAGAAGACATGATAATAAAAATGCAGTAGCATTTTATTCTCAAAACAACTCAGAAATGAAGTGCCATTATTTTTTTCATTTTGCAAGTGAGGAAGCTGAGAATGGACAGCTTAAATAAGCTGCCCCAATGTCACCAGAAACAAACAAAAAAAAACAAAAGACAGCAGAGATGTCTGATAAGGAGTTGTGCACTCTGCTGTTTTACCACTGAAACATTGAGAAAGAAAAGCGCGCAGTCACCACGCCCGGGTACTGCCTGCCCAACCCCTGCACCCCGGGGTGCAGCACCTGGAGGGCACACAGTGAATGACTGCTGTGCGGACGGATGAATGTGTACGTTCTGGCCACCGCTTAGGAAGCTACTTAAGAATCGGGGTTTTGCTTGAATTCATTTTTGTACCCTGCACACCAGACATCACACCAGAACCATGGTAGCGACTCAGT